TAAATAAATATTATCGAGTTGTTTTGGAACCATTTAAAGAATTAAGAACCTGACTTTCGTCTAAACGTATCGTGTTATAGCAGCACGTCGAATAAATATGTACTTTTCAAGCAGTTGTCCGCTACGGATGTGACGCAAGCACAGTTGTGTCTGGCAATACTTCACCATCAAGCTTTAAACGACTGATCGAATTCGAAAAATTTAATTGATATTAGGCATGTAAGTAGAGTATACTTATTCTGGAACAGCTCTTTGGCTACGATATACACCGAAAACAATGATTGATAAAATAAACATGTACGTAGTAAGCAAAACATTAAACATGAATTACTAAAAGAAATCCCTTTTTAGCCCATAAATAAATAGAATTCAAAAACAATAACTTTACTTCTATTCTGCTGGCATAATGAACAATGGAGAATGGATCGGAACCGACTTTTGTTGAATTTTTACTTTTGTTATAGGTACAACGGTCAAGCTGTATAATGTCGATAAGGTATTGCATTCTTTATTATTAGGGTATTTTCAAATAATCTAACACATCAATTTTATTGAATAATTTTATCATAATAAGTATGTTACTTGTAGGTATTGTCACTGCTATTTGATTTATTTATAACTGATTTGTTTATCTACTTTAAACTTTAATTTAACTATTAAGAGTTAATATGATTAAGCGGCGGAAAGACCCGTTATGGAGGATTAGCTCGAGACGCATTAAGAACTCTCCAATACCGGCTGAGGCAGGTGATCACCGAGAAAGACTGCTTCGGAGATCACCTGTGATTGAACGGAGCCAACGCCTAAGTGCCACCACTGCGATGGCCGGACCGTGGACACTGCGCTTCAGAAGCTGGCAGAATGCCCAGCCTTGGTGCAGGAGAGGCGTGACATCGTGGCGGCCTTAGGTGTCGGAATTCTCTCGCTCGGTAACATGATTGCCGCAACAAGCGAGAGCGCGTGGTAATCTGCCGTCTCCTTCTGCGAGTAATTTATACCTTCGAAGCAGATGGCTGAGCGGGATCAGGCAGACAGACCTCCGTGCTCCATAAGCGCAGGCCTGGGAGTGACAGGTGAGGTCATCTGCTACCCTAACAAAAGCAGGCCGGGTTGGCGGCACTACGCGCTGTGAAGCGCGCTCGCCCTCTAGGGAGCAGAATGGGAGCACCGTGGTTGCCGCACACGAGGGGGTCATCTACAAGCCGTAGATGGCTCGGGGTCCGTCAGGGTACCTCCTTCCTAGGGTACACCTCATTCGATGGTCTCTGGTACCCGAGACGGCGTATGGTTTTTTAGGCGGCTCGTGTCCGACATAACCAGCGGTGGGTGCTATCCGAGGGGAATTTTGCACAGAAAAAAAAAGTGTAACTTTAGGTAAAGGTTTGGACATTCATAATTATTAATAATTTTTAAGTTACGTTCAAGGAAAATATGTATTCTTCGTCGAACTCCAAGTTAAGTATCAGGACAATACGTAGTTAAGGATCGCATGACAAAAAATCATTTATTTCATTAATATAGACTGATAACTTTAAGAGTAAGTCAACTACTGATGTTGCCTTCAGTTTATACTGATCACGAATACGCTTGCCGAACGTGGCGATTGCTGCAAGATATTGCACAGCCATGAACTAAAATGTAGGTCTCATCTATAGTGCAAGCGACGGTGTGCACCGCTAACATACAAAAAGCCGCGCTAAACGTTAAAAGTGACGACACGGACGATTTCAGTTCAGTTTATACGAGCTTTTTTATTTTGCATATATTGTGTAATTTTCATTTTATTATCTTTTGTTTTGACTAAGCCAATTGATATGCTAAAGTTCGTGTTTGAAGATCAACTGGTTGTTAAGTAGAAGATAGGCGTAAGTACTCAAATGAAACTTTACAATTTAAAATTAATAATTAGATAAAAAAAAGAAATTTTCTATTGTGGAATAGATGTTACTCTAACTTTTTCTGTTTATCTATTATTCCGTTTCTAGATCCCTACTCTTAAATTAATGTAAGAAGTTTGCTAAAGCAATTTAAAGTGTTAAGTATAATGTAAATGTTTTGCTCAACAAGACGTATAAAACGATGTTGTCACGCATCCATGTTTTTTTTTCTTTGGCATAGAGACATAGATTGGCTTTGTGTTACCGATTGACGTCATACGTAAGTACCTTTTTATAAAGGTATTTACTAGAGTATTATGAAGTCGCATGATACCTAACTATAAATACGAAGGCTAAATTAATGGCAAGCCAGAGACAATAGCACAATGAATTTTCTCACATTTTATACAAAACACAATTCTTAGAAAAGGTATATTCAACTAGTAAAATATACATACATAAATATATAGATATGTACATGTATCAAACTATTGAATATTAAATAAATCATTTCAACGACACATTGTATGAAATATATTTTTAACCATCCGTTTGGGCAAAGGTATACACATCGGACGGATGTATAAAAATCTTGCGTGATGAAAACTCATAATAAAGATGTTATATTTTATACATATTTATATTGTAAATACCATAATTGTAAAATTGTATTTCATAGTTAAGGATTGGACACATAATAGTTAGGTAGTTTTTATTAAAAATATCTACAGTAACTGTTTTAGGTTTCGTAGTGTAAATAAACATAAACAATATTATGATATATAAGTAATTGTTCTTGTTGATTTGGTTGGTGGCTGGTTTCGGTTAGTTAAACTGCTAAAAATAATATAATTTACTCATTAAAAAAAAACTAAAGTGCATCCGCATGTCAACGTGTATCTCAGTTATATCGACAAATGTCTACCAATTTAGCCCGTAGCAACTGGAAGCCTTTTTGTCTAAAGTATGTCTAATATTATCCGAACAATATCTATTTTTAGCTACTTTCAATAATCTTTTTTTAGTCCCTTAAATATCACTGCTCTTTATTTATAATTGAAGTAACATGCTTATGAAATTTAATTTAAATACCTGGGTTTAGATTTTCAAAAAAAATAAAGATGAGTGATTAAAAATATAATTAAATTAATAGTCAGCAGTTGCCTTTATTTGATTATAAGTCTAGTCTAAGTTATGTCGTTTAGTTGATGCTGCTAATTTTTCGTAGTTTATTATGTTTTTTTCCTTTTTTAATAAGTAAACACTTAGTAAAAACTGGATGTAGGGTAAACCCAGATGAGATAATAGAAGCTTTGTGCAAGGATTAAGAGATTGGGTAGGTAATTTCACTTTTAATTATAATATATCTTACCTAATCTTTTTCTTCATCTTCATTCGAGATTCATAAACATAATATGATTACCTAAGTTTTATGATGCAGGGAGCTATGCATGTTTTTATGAACTGTGACTTCAAGGTTAACGGTCATTATATTCATTAAACACTACGTTGCATAGTGCAAAAAATGTTGAAAATATAAAATGTCGTTTGTTATAAAACTATTACAAATGTAGTTTTATTATTACTTCTATATCATATTAAGAGTCCGTGTGGTGACGGATTAAGAATACAGATTGTCACCACCCCTATTCATCCCGTGGGTGTTGTAAGAGTCAACTAAGGGAAAAAACTACGCAGAACAACAACACTGCACAGAGAAGGAAAACTTGACACAAACCCTATACCAACCCGTCTGGCCAGCGTGGTATAGTAGGCCAAAACCTCCTTTCTAAGGAGAGGCTTATGTCCAGCAGTGGACTATTAAAAGCTGTTGATGATGATGATGATGATCATATTAAACACAGTTGTCGGGAAACATTGTTTAACTTTTGATTTTGATGAAATTGATTTTATTAAATGTAGTAAAGTATTATTGAACGGGAAAATAAAATATTTCACATCTACATATTGTTACCCATTAACTAAGTACATCCTTTCAATTTCCAACGTTATTGTTTTGAGACGCTTTATGTAATCCATGTATCTTGCCGTAGCAAGCCGGTGTGTGGGCTTAATACAAATGTCAAGTTATGTAAAGGACTATCGACTAGCGCCACTGACAGCACAGACGGTGAATTGATTGATTCAACTCGCCAAATCCTAGTGGACTTCGACAATACTTGGTGAATGCAATTCCGAAACAGGACAATAATTTGTATTTAGTGGCTATTTAAAAAGTCTATCAACACACTGATCATCTCCTAGTGCGCAAGTTTTCAGATCTAGGACGATGCCTAAGAGGTTTCTTACCCGATATCGCGTCTTAATCTACAAATGAGTAATTGGAATCTTCTAAAATGTGTCCTTCAAGGGTTGATAGGTTCTTTACAGAATATGTATGTAGTGAATTAACTATACAATAATCGAATCATGTAAAAGCACAAGTTTTCACTAAGGGCCTATCTATAGGTATATCTAAGACTTAACCTTTTGATATCTCACTTGATGTCTTTCCAAACCGCAAAATAAAATGACACAACCTAAAGTACTGATACAGGCCGACTCAAAATACTAGAAAAAATGACCTAGTAAAAACCGAAATTGCTCCATCTACAACTTACACGTAAAATACGATACCTACACAATAAAAAATCATTTCGAGGAATACGAAGAAATAAATCCGTTGTACATACGACTCCCGCAAGTAAAATTAATGTGAGGGTGCGATTTTATCAGCTCAGTATGCCAAACGGCGATGTTAGTAAACGGTGTTTACAAACAACCCGCTATGCGCCAGCGGCCCCAGCCACGAGCACTGAGAGAAAGGCGCTTTCCCGCACTTAAATCCCGCACTTAATGGATAGTTTACACTCAATTAGTATCACTTTATATTTAAACAATCAAGATTAACATCTAGAAATTTCTACGAGATGTAAATGATTAAAATACTGAGCTAAATGTGATATACATTTTACAGAACTTCTAAATAATAAAACCTAATGCATATACATTACATGTAGAATAACAAAGCTTAAAGTTCCAGTCACAATGATGACTGGTGACGAAAACCTACACGTTACGTGTTTAACATTTATTCAAAGTGAATAACGGATATTATCATACCGGTGGAGGCTCCGCCGTGCTGTACACTTCTGATGGGGGGTACTCCGGCTTCATAGTGATGGTGGCCATGGAGTCTGGTTGGTGCTCCTTCTCCATCACGAAATTTTTTATTCACAAAAAAAATTGAATTAACGGTTGCTGCGCGTGTATTGTTTGGCGTTCGAAGTGGAAGTGTGCGCAAGTGAGCGGTGAAGCTCGACGGCGACGTAGGCGCAGCCTCAAAATTCGAAATGTGGTGTGGTGGGGTCGTGCGACACTGCCACAAACGCATTCACTTGATTGACACTAGAGCTATTGAAGTGATTGCGAAGACAACGGTGAAAACTCGTAGTTGTATTAAACAGAACAAAGGTTTTGTTATGTATATTAATCATATTTAAAAGATGTTGTTGTTTTATTTCCTCAGCCTATTTGGCCGCGAATGAATAACAGTCAGAATGATTTCAGCTAAAACAAATATAGAAAAGCCTATTTTTATTTTAAACTGTTTTTAAAATTTGTGGGTCACATTTCAAGTGTTCTTATTTTGTTCAAATGTGACAGGATGCTCTTAAAGATTCTGTAAATTTTCACCTCGCTAGTGGAAGCTGCTGTCTGTGAGATTATTTTTCCACTATGCTAGCTTTTAGCTATGAAAGTTACATAAGTCGCTAAGTTCGCAAACAATCAGGCCTTCAAGGAGTGCAACCACCTTAGTCATCCTTGCCAGCTTAAAGTATTATTATAGATTGCTTATAGGGAAAATATTATTAATATGAATGTATCTGCACTTGTTGAATAGTAAATAAAAAAAAATGCATTTAACATTGACACAAATTTAAATTTGATTTAGATTAAATCTTTTAAGGTTATTATAATGTATCAGATTTAGAGATTCGCTTTTACAATGAGCTGAGTCCACATATGCAAATTTTAAGCAACGCCTTCTTTTACCAGGTTTATTATCAAGAATTTGTGAAGATTTTTGAAAAAAAAATTTTTTTTTATACCCTGGTATATTTATAAGATAACTTGTAATAATTGTGTTGTTGTTGTTGTAATAAATGTTTTAACCTCACTTATAGAATGACGTACCCATCCTGATTTTGCAACTTACGAGTATTTCTCTTCTCCGTTTCGGTCGTGTGTTTTGATCAAATTTGTATTTTATTAAATAGGAGGGGGCTAATAAGCAGATTACCTGATGGTATTAAGGAAATAAAAAATATTATTTTGGAAATCCGAGTACAAAAATTTGGAATTTAAAACATTTCTTGAATATTTTACAATGGCTTCTTTTATAATTACTTACATAATCACTGATTCAAATTTTAATTATTTCTACTTATTCCATACTTATTAAACCAGCATAGCTGAAAAATGCGACATGTGTTAGGACATTCCATTACTGAAAGTCAAAATTAAGTCTTAAATGAGATCCAAAGTTATAGACCTCCGTTTACACTTGAGGAACCTTGTAGGTCACAACTATGCATGAATATTGTTGTATCTTGTTTTCACAAAAGAACGGCTTCAGCTCTTTCTCTTTCCAGATGTTTTATGGCGTCTTTTATGATGGCCTGCAGGACATTCGTAGGTTGAAATAACTTGAGTTCGTCCATAAATTTCGTGTTTATATAAAATGTGGTTGTTTTGTTGTATTAAGTGTAGACACTTTGAAGGTAAGTATTTAAAAATTCAATAAACATATCATTCTCAAGTAGTTTAAAGCGAAAAGCTTAAAAAATGCAACAAACAAAATCTACACTGGGTCTTAAATAAAACTTAAACTCAATCAAATGTGAATGTAATGCTTTAGCACTTGCCTTTGAAATAAAATTTTATTTTACTTGGTAGGAAGATTATTTTGTTCTAAATATTCAAACTCCTGGAATGGAAAGAACTTGGCACCAACATCAATGGTCAATACATCACTCACCTTCGATTTGCCGACTACATCGTAGTCATGGCAGAATCGCTGGAAGACCTGGGACAAATGCTCGCTGACCTCGACGGAGTTTCTCAACAGATCGGCCTTAAAATGAACATGGACAAGACGAAAATCATGTCGAATGTCCATGTCGCGCCGACTCCCGTAGTCGTGGGAAACTCTGTCCTCGAAGTTGTTGATGAATATGTCTACCTAGGACAAACGGTCAAATTAGGGAAGTCCAACTTCGAGAATGAGGTCAATCGTCGAATCCGACTCGGGTGGGCAGCGTTCGGGAAATTACGAAACGTCTTCACGTCCAAAATACCTCAGTGCCTAAAGACGAAAGGCTTCAACCAGTGTGTCTTACCAGTTATAACCTACGGATCTGAGACGTGGTCTCTAACTATGGGCCTAATCGCCCATAAGTCGCTCAGCGTGCTATGGAAACGGCTATGCTTGGCGTTTCCCTGCGTGATCGAAGCCGCAACGAGGATATCCGCAGGAGAACAAAGGTGATCGACATAGCCCAACGGATTAGCGCGCTGAAGTGGCAATGGGCAGGGCACATAGCAAGGAGAGTTGACGGCCGATGGGGCAGCAAGGTTCTCCAATGGAGACCACGTACTAGAAAGCGCAGTGTGGGACGACCGCTTACCCGATGGACGGACGACCTGGTAAAGGTTGCCGGAAACCGTTGGATGCAGGCCGCAATCAACTGTCCCCGCTGGAAATCATTGGGAGAGGCCTATGTCCAGCAGTGGACAAGCATAGGCTGAGGTGATGAAATATTCAAACCCTATTAGGTTTTCATTTTAATTTAGTCCCCGCCATTAAGTGAAATTATTAGGTGTTTACCTATGAAGTTGAAGATAGTTAATCAAAATACTGGCTTAAATTCTCCATATAATTTTGCCATTTCCGTTTACTGTGGAAGTCTGTGTAAGTGGAGGCGATGAAGTCAGCGAAAACATTTTGTACCGCCTCTCGGGTGTTGACTTTCCTTTTCCCACTTAAAAAATTGACAAAATTTTCAAAAATTTACAAATCTGTTGGGGCAAGGTTTGGTGACGGAGAGCTTCCAGCTGTAACTCTTGTAGATTTGACTCTGTTTGCGATAGTCTGTCGTGGTTGTTGAATTGTGAGCTTCTCATTCATTGTTTGCAATTCTTGTCAATAGATATCTCCTGTCACTGTTGTACCATTCGGTAAAAAGCTTTGATGGACAAGTCCGGCACTGGTCCACCAGACAATCACCTTCATCTTTCTATGGGTAATCTTTTTTTTAGCGCACTGATTATGTGCTGTACTCGAGTTCACCCATTAAGATGAACGCTTATAGTTGTCGTACAGGATCCACTTTTCATTGCAGGTAACAATTCGATTTGTGTTACGTTCCGTTTTGGGGTTTAAATATTTTTTTTTATTCAGAATTGTTTCGTTTCTATGCCGATTCAGTAGTGCTATTCATGTGATGATCCCTTAGTTCGCGTGGCACCCACTTATCTAGCATTTTTATCTTTCCGATTTGACGCAAGTGCTACAATGGTGTTTTGACACTAACTCTAAAGCCCGCAGCAAGCTCAGCCGTAAATTGCGTTGGATCCGCTACCACTATCGCCTTCAATTCGTCGTTGTTGACTATAGTTAAAGCCCGACCGCGAGGCTCGTTTTCTCTAACTCTAAATTTCCAATCGAACCAATAATATAGACCGTATTTTTGCGAGCAGTATTAGGCCCGTACACGTCGTTAATGTTTCGTATTCTTTTCACAGCGGTATTTCCACGTATGAACTCATATTCGAAACTTGTACGAATTTTCAGTTTATCCATGGCGCCAAAAACTACCACAATTTTACAAAAACAAAACACTATCTAAAAAATGACGAAATTTTAAATTAAAATAACATGGCTTTCGAATAAAATATATTTGAATTTCGAATTGCGCGCCAATGCACAGATAATTAAATCGATATTTGCTGGTTTTTTTAATCTTTATAAAGAGGTCTTTACCTATGAAGTTGGAGTTTTTTTTAGTAGGCATTAATGTCTTTATATCCTTGGTATTTTAAATTTAACAATACAGCCGAAAGGTGACCACAGAACCTTTTTCACTCTTGTAGCTTTTGTCTGTTTTTCAGGCCTTGGATGAATAAGGTTGGTTTCAGCGATTTGAATACTTTTCTATTCTAGATTTGAATGTGATTCTGTCTAGCGTAGTGTGTTCTAGGAGGGTAAACATTTTCACCAAAAACTGTTCAATGTGAGAAAACGGAGTTTTCATAAATTAAAATACTTTTTAATTTATCTGACAGAAATTTGTCTGCGTTATACTGACACTACACTGTCTGGAGAGCCAATTGTTTAAAGCTATCATATTGTCTACTGCGTATAAATTGTTTAATTAAATATCATCTTTTACTAATAATGTCGTAATACACATAACCATAAGGTATATGTCAGTTATGATTCTATGTTAGTAATTATGATTACCTACGTAAAAACTTAATAGGAAACTTAACAGGTTTCATATCATAGCCAGCCAAAGCTAGTTTGTGAAAACTGTAAACTGAAATGAAACCTGTTTTTTTTTTATTGATTGAGACCTGCAAATTTTGCATATGGCGGACTTAATGCCACAGGCGTTTTCTTCCAGTCAAACCTTTGGCTGTTGCAAAGCTGTGTATATTCGAGACAGGTAAGGATGAGACTGAATTAAAGAACGTTAGAAAAGCAAAAAAAAACCAGATATATAGGCACTAGGTATACATACGAGTACATATAGTTTATACATTTAAATATCATAATACTCGTATAATATACTAGCGATCCGACTCGGCTTCGCACGGATACAATGTAGATACTATAAATACTATATACTATAGTTAAACCGCCGTAAGCTTGGCCCTCCTGGTGGTTTGCGGGACGCGGGGCGGGGGGATAGCCTTGGTTAAACTTCTAGTTAAGCCCCTCGTATGTGCTGATTGTCATCAACTTTTCTTGCATTATCACATTGGCTTCTTTCATGGCTGTGATATTATACGGATTTTTATCCATTAAGGAACTTGTAATTTTAACAGATCCTCAAACCTCTCAGTAAAATCCTACTAAAATATTATATTATATATGTTAATTCTTTTACACGTAACACAACTTGAAAGAACATTTCAAATAAGATCTTTTGTTATCCAATCGGGGTCGATTTTTAGACCTCGTTGACACTCAAAATCTGTTTTCGTTTACGTCGACCCCTGAGAAACCGATTTCGACCCCAGGGGGAAGATATCGAACACTTTGGGAAACCCTTTTTTTTTCCGTGCGGAAATCCCCTCGGATACCACCTGTCGGTGGCATGTCGGACTGGAACCGACTAAAACCGCACGCCGTCTCGGGTACTAATAGCCGGGGAACCAGGTATACCCTAGAAAGGAAGTCCCTGGTACACTTTGGGAAACCCTGGCTTAGATTATGGGTGCGCATTTTTCACTTATTAAAAAACTTAGGTATCGCTCTAGTTTAATTTCCCAAATGAATCTTTAGCAAAACATTTCCCATTTTATTCACTTAGTCAAATTATCATTTGGCATCATTTTACTTTGTCAAGCTTTATTAAGTCAAATGTTTATTAATCAAACCTTTTATATTGGCATATATTTTATTACGGAATGTTTTGTGTGAAAAAAAATTTATGTAGTGTGAACTGCGGCCATAAAAGTAGATTAGGTTAGAACAGCTACCCGAACAGCGAACCGCCGGAAACAAACTGTTCTGAGATTTTATACTCAGTTTTGTAAGTTTTTTTAATACTGTAAATAAAAAACGATACCTACATTTAACTAAATAATGTTTGGTAAAATGAAACATGACCAAGTAATTATTTGTTAAACAATAACTTGCCAAAAATGAGTGTTGTTCACTTAAAAATTGCGATAAGTTGTTTTGACAAATAGGTTTTTGCCAAATGAAAATTTGCGTAAAATAGTTTGCGATTTGATATTAAAAAAAAGGTTTTTGCCAATGCATTAGGTAGTAATCCATATTTCGGGTGGTTAAGCCGGGTTTTATTTATGATAGAGGGGGCAATTGGGAAAAGGGTAGGCAGATGATGATGAATGAGAGGGAGCAGACGAGCAGACAGGTCACCTGATGGAAAGTGACCATCGCCGACCATGAACGTCTGCAACTCAGGAGTCACAAACGCATTGCTGGCCTTTTAGGAAGGAGTACGCTCTTTTCTTGAAGGTCGTATCGGTCCGGAAATACCGCAGACGATAACCCGATCTATAGATTGGTTGTGCGAGGCAAAAAGGATCTCGAAATGCGCACAGTGGTTGAGCTATCCAAGTTAAAACCTAAGGCGTGTTTCCTTTTTTAATTGATATCACTAAACATTTGTAAATATCCTCCAAAAATAAAAACATAGAAACTTGTTTGAAAAATAGAGTAAGAAAAGTAAACTTATTTTATTTTACCCAGAAATTGCCAAAACTTTACCATAATAAACTATTAAGACATCTAAATGTAGTCTCTACAATTTTTTTGACAGAAGAAACATGAAGCAGTTTCTTTATCTGTGATCAAAGTCAAATCGAACTTACCATTCCGACAAAAAAAAACTTTTGTACTAACTGATAGAAATTTATTTTATACATTTTAGTAAGGCTAGTTTAACGTCTTTAACGTCTTTTATAAAAAGACAACTCCCGCATTAGGAATTTATTACACTCAGCGTAGCAGTAAGCGTGGCGACCGCTTAAACCACTACTGGCGTAGTACAACAACAAAATCGTGTTTTATTTGGTTTTTTTAACTTTTTAAACTTTTTAAATTTTTTTAAGGACCATAATTATATTTTTATAGGAAAAACGCTTACCTAATTAAAGTGTTAATCGATAAATTGCCTAATCGACTAAGTTGAGCCATATTCCAATGTTATGTTTTCACGTTTGCAACATTTAAAGAAAATTGATCGATCGAAGCGGTCTATTATAATTAAAAATCGGACCTGTGGTGGTCACCTATTTAACTCACGAATCTTTTTAATTTAAGTAAAAGGAATATAAGACGATGGCGATCACAGGAAAAGGCACATTCCAGCCTGTAAGTCTCATTTTAAATAAAAATATTTAGGTAAAGTTACGTACACTTCTCATTAATATCATTTTTAGGATTCAGATGTTCACATTTCTTACGAAGATCAACAGAAAATTAATAAATTTGCTAAGCTTAACGCTAAACTTGACGAATACAAAGAAGAGCTTAAGGTTTCACAAAACGATATGAAGAATTTGGAAGAAGCAATGGATGAACTAAGTCTTGCTGATGATTCTAGCAAGATCCCATATCTGATTGGTGAAGTCTTTATTTGTCAAGACTTGGAAAAAACATTGGTAAGAATTATTAAATTTTTAACAACTACAAATAAAATTTTATATTATCCCAACACACTTGTAACCATTATTTTAGGTTTTATCAATTTTAGGATTAGAATCAAAGTCGAGAGTATATTTAATCATTGACATCTTAGCTTTGTATGAATGATCTATATACAAAACTTAAATTTTGGTAGATAGTATTTGCAAGTATAAAATTCCTAATAACTTAAATATGATAATTTTAGCAGTGACTGATGGCTGTGTCGAGCCTCATTGCATTTTGTTTAAAGTTCCCCTGTGAGCTCGTATGAAACCAGTTTCGAAAATAGAATAATATTTCTTCTTTTGAAACTGGTTTCGATATGAGAATTCTTCTTTCAAAACAAGTTTGGTAAAAGAACAATGTTTCTTCTTTCAAAACTTGTAAATAAAATCTCTATTGATTAATAAGAAACAATTTACTGTCCACTTAAGTGTGTTGTGTGATAAAAACAATCAAATAAAGATTGTCACTATCAACAGTAAGGGCTCGAGCAGTGTGCAAGTGACTGATGGTCAGTGGCATGAATCCATAAAACAGAATTTTCCAATAATAAACAGTCTGCTCCAATTTCAAGTACCTTTTTTTATGGAATAGAGGGCAAACAAGCAGTTGGGTCATTTGATGGAAAACGACTACCGCCACCCATGAACGCCTGCAACTCAGGAGTCACAAGCACGTTGTCGGTCTTTGAGGAAAGAGTACCTTTTTTTCTTGAAGATTTGAAGGTCGGATACGTCCTGAAATACCGTTCCGTGTGGAACTATGGCGGAAAGTTGCGGCCGGGATGAGTCCGAGCAATTCCTCGGAGCATTCTCCATGATGTATATGATAGAGAACTAGTCCGAATAATAGATAGTGCAGAGTGAAGCTATATCTCTAGGTAATGCCAAGGGAGTCGCTCTTCTTTGGAAGACCCCACCCCCTGAATACGCAGGGCAACCTAAACATCCTCGCCCAGATGCATGATGTTCTGAGGGTTGACGTCCAGCAGGGGATTCACCAACTCTAGTGTAGCTATCTTAACTCTTAACGCTGGAAGGACAAATTTATAAAACTATAATCAGACCTGCCGTCCTGTTGGGTTCTGAAAGTTGGTCCATTAAGAGAACGGATGAGAGACATCTGGTGGTTTCGGCATGGACATGTCATGCAGAGGGATGAGGAAAATGTGGAGGAAAAAGTGTTTGGTATGGGCGTTCAAGGGTACAAGAGAAGAGGAAGACCAAAGAAAAGGTGGATGACCTGTGTGAGTGAGGATGTGGCTAGGAAAGGAAGTAAACAGTGAAATAACGAATGATAGAGTAGAATGTAAGAATATAAAATAATAAGTTCCAATTCAAGTTCACCAAATTAGGCGGTGTGCAAGGGTTATGGGGACGTGTCAAATGCGCTGTGATTGGAAATTTCAAAGTCAAACTTAGAATGCACCGAAACATAGTGATGGGACAGGGTTGGGATGTTGGTCTATAAAATGGTTTGATCTGAATTCTGAATTAATTATATTTATTTTATTTTTGATTTAGTGATTATTGATAAATAATTAGGTTGATCAATGTATACTTGATATGTATTAAAAAAATAAAACACTGTATATATATTTCTGTACCTCCTGTGAAAAGCGATACAAGTAAAAAATCAACACTTTACAGGCGAACAAAATCAAGATTAAAAAAGTTAGCCAAGTAAGCTAATTTAAATTTGAGTACCGCTTTTATAGATAAAAACATTTACTTTCGCTGTACATTTAAATTTTTGTGGTTCATATTACAGTTTTTAAAATAATTCTTAAAAACATCATTAGATAGTGTATTCTATAATCTGTACCTATAACACAATACGACGATGAAGAAATGGCTACCGTACCAGTACCAGCTTTATATAAGAAAGTGATTTAATGGAATGGGTCACTCCTATTTCACCCTTTTTTTTTCCTGTGCGCAAATCCCTTCGGATATCACCTACCGGGGTGATTATGTCAGACTCGAACCTACCAAAAACCGCACGCCGTCTCGGGTACCAGTAGTAGTAACCAGGTGTACCCTAGAAAGGAAATCCCTGGTAATCCGATGTACCTCGGGCCATCTACAGCGTGTAGATGGCCCCCTCCTGGGTGGGAACCCCCATGTTCCCTTTGTGCTCCACTCCGGCTTGCTTCTGCTTTGGTGTGTAGAATCAATAAGAAGTTAAGTAGTAACTTTACTACGTAACGTCTTATAGTTTTGATCCATTTTTTTACTATTCTAACTAAGAAAAAATAAATAGTAATAAATGGGTGTGCATTTTATTTTGCCATAAGAAGCACGATGCCCAAAGCAATACCCACTCTGCGCGCTCAAGATCCGTGCCGTTAATTTTACATGCCTTTTATTTAATATCGCTTTCATATACGTTGGAAGTGGACAGTAAATTGTTTCCTATCCGTCAAAAGCGATTTTATTTACGAGTCCGGAAAGAAGAAACATTATTCATTTATCGAAACGAGTTTCGAATGAAGAAATAATATTCATAAATCGAAACCAGTTTCGAAACATGGTAAGGTTACATGAATTATGTTATTTACTTCTTATTATCAATTAAAACATAGGGGCTGGAAATCAGGTTTTCAACATTTTTACTTTGCTTTCGGGCACTGCTGTTGGTGATCCAAATAACTTTCATCTTGGTACTTAACATTCCTGCTTTGAGGCATTCTATTATTTCATTTAGGCATATTACAGCAGACCAGCAACTGCTTAGATGCTGATGAAAATAGTAGGAACATCACTAACATATGCATTGCCGACCCAATCCTACACCCTATCTACGAGCATAAATCTTTTGCAAGCCTTCTCACTAGCAGAAAAACAAATGACAGTAGTGTTATACTGTCAGTTGGTTGGACTCGGACAGTTAACCCAAATGTGAGAACTTTTCTCTAAGGTGTTTCAGTTTTATCAATTGTCTGTACTAATTGACAAAAGGCCATTTACCAATGCTCTTTTATTTTTTAACTGCAATCCCTAATTATTATATTTTCAGAAAGCATTAGATATTGCTAAATCCAAGAAGGAGTGTGAAATCGAAGATATTAAAGCCATATGTGGGGAACTCAAATTTCAAATGGGTGAACTAAAAGCACACTTGTATGGCAAATTTGGCAGTCACATTAATTTGGAAAATGAAGAGGACTAAACTATGATTCTCCCGAGCAGTATAATAAAACTAGTTTTTGTGTATTACAAATATTTAGTATATATTGTTAACCAAACAAAAACTTTCAATACAATGTGCAAAAATATCACAAAGAATATTTCCAAAACCTGGCTTAGCCAGTCTTTAGTAATTACCATTTAAATTGTATCTACAGAATGATTATAAATAATTAGAACATTTTATGTCTATAATATATGTATAAATAACCAATAAAATATAAAAATAATACTAAATAGTTTTTTGTGCACATATTACACGCAATATGGCTAATAGTGTCTGCTACATTACATAAATTACACTAATTTCACCTAATAATTAACTTTAACAAAATAACTGAGATATGTGAATGTAAAGAAGAAAATGTATAATCTACTTAAATTAAAAAATAAAGTTAAAGCTAATTAACAACACTTAAGTATGTAGTATATATTTTAAGTACCTTCATTTTACATACCTAAAACTGGCACATATTACCTGTGAGACATCACTATTTAATATGTCTCGCGTCTCTGTTGCAAAAGAAATCGCCACCTTAAATTCGACATTAATGTGTTTTTTCACACAACCAAATAATTATAATACACAATAGCTTGGCATATATTGATAATAATATAACAGTACATTCTTATTTGTAGTTTGCACATCTTTGGCGTGTATATTAAAAATATTTATAACTTATTTACATCACAATACTCAAATACTATCACATTTCTTGACTACAATGTAATATGAATAGGAATCTGATATTAAATATTTTACATTATTCAAGGTTAATATGCTTTTAAATGATATATATCCTAACACATTCTTGAGAAATAAATTATGTGTTGGATTTAGTACAACTAAGCATAATAAGCTGTACATTGTTGCTATCTGGTCAATATTGTAAAAAACAAAGAAAATACTTTTTTGCACTAAATACTTATAACATCACACATCCATATCAATATTTTATAATAATAACAAGTTGTGGCTGTCTCTAAGGTAAAATTTCTAATCATTGATTTATAATCAAGCTTAGGCAACAAGCTTACCATAAAATCTTAAGTGTGTACACTGCACAGTTTATTGTTAGTATCCAAACTGTGCTATATTTTTTTAAATAGAATAAACTGTAACTAATAATAATAATGAAAAACGAATTATCTAAATAATAATTTACGTGGATATTCCATGGAATTCCTAAAATACTTTTTTTCCATATATCTAATGTCGAATTTAGGAATGTTTGTTAGCTACTAATAAATTACAAAAATAATTACAATCGCAAAAGTCAGTTCAAATAGTCAAATCTAACATAATCAATTATTAATACTTTTAGTTCAAATTATGAGCCACTTTGCCCTTAACATAATATTTGTAAATATATCAAATAAATTGATTATAAGTTACAAATAAAACAAAATAACATATTTCGTGCAAATATCCAGACAAGTAAGAAATATATAAAGTTAAGGAAGATGGAGCTGGCTTCAGGTAGTAATTTAGCCTTATACGCCTCTCTGAATACTAGCGTGAGAGTTCGACAGAGAACTTTGTTGTAAACTCTCTTCCTCGTCTGTTTCGCGGTCGTTAGATATCCTGATGGCCTGGTACCACTGGTTCGTAAGATCTGTCATTTGACTCTTACAATCTTTTAATTCCTGCAAAAGAGAAATTGCCGCTGATAATGTAGCTTTCCATTGGTGAAAGAATTTTTAAAATAGGTTTAGTGTTTAGACGTGTAAGCGTATCAAACAAACAAACTTACTTTCACATTTATAAGTATAAAAACTTATGTTTTGAATTCAAGAAATCAACTGTGAGGTATGACTCAATGAGTTTTTTTTTATGTTATTGAGGGAAACATCAAAAGATTAAAGAAGACAGTCGGTATTGAAGTATATTATTACACAGACAGAGACACCTCTGCATTTACAAGTGTTAATGCACAGATTACCTCCTAATAGATACCACATACGGGCTACAAAGGCGCGCTACACATACTTGCTGTAGCTAGCATACGACGTGACGCTAAGTATCACGACATTAGTAACGACCAAGTTTGTGACCCGTAGGCACGTACGAGTTCTTGACAATTTAAAATAGTTTTATATCACAATATATATTACAAATGGCTTCCTATACAGCGACATGGTGTAGCAGGTCAACTAAGACATCCAGTTATCAAAAAGATAGCATAACATTTCATCGGTAAGTAAATTATATTCATAGCATGCTAACCTTTTTTAAATGCACCGTAGTTCAACTTATAATGGTGCCATGTAATAACAATAAAGTACCCGTTGCTGTCTTTTTGAAACGTCCCTTTCACTCATTACGTAAATTACAATAGTTGTCTTTGTCTAATGACAGCACGTATATCGATAGTGTTGTGATTTGTAGGTCGATATTTGTTTGGTCTTCCTTTGTTTTTTGGAGTCATTATTTTGTAAAAATAGTGTCGTATCATAGTGTTATATATAATTGGCTTCCTAAATACTTCAAAAGAAAAAGATGTAAATGGACGCAATTTGTGAGGGGACGATAGGACGATAAGACACTTCACAGAACACAATCTGCATATTATGAAAAACAGTATAGGGCTGTTGGAAGACAAGGAAGAGATATGCTAAGGATTTTATGAGACGTATTTATACTAAGTTTATCCATTTTAATTATCAGTAAAATATATATTTAAAAGTCAAATGTACAAATTTGTGCCTCCTGCGATGAGTGGTTCAAGTTGAGTTGTCTCTTTTTAATTTATACATAGAAATATTCAGTAAAAATGCATTTATTTTTATGTCTAACTCACGTTCTTTTATCTATTATAGTTTCGGAGATCATTTTGTGAAAAGTGATATAACTGGCAGGATTTTTGCAAACATATCGTGAATATAAATAGTATAAGTTGTAAAATCCCTATAAATATTTACTGCATACATTATTTTTAGAGCTTCGTTCTATAAGTTGCGACTATATTAATTTTCACATTTTATTTTTCAGTAAATTTATCGTGAATATTGATATAATTAGAGTTATATCACTTTGAAGAGATCCGAATCTAAATTTTTAAATTAAATCTATAAGGTTAAGATTTTAGCAAACTGATACAATTTAGCCAAATTATGAAAATAGGGGATTGATAAGTAAAAAAACATCTCATCTTTGGGGTATTATTTCTATAACTTTTTTGACCAACTGAGCAAAACAAACACTAGATGTTTGTACTTAGTGTATATCAATTTACATGTAGACAGCTTATAGGTGAAACATAGTTTAACTATACTTGTATGATTTAGCATGTACTAGAAATGAAAAAGGTACATCTCGTTTTTATCTACAAAAGAAGGTACTCAAATTCAACCTAGCCCACTTAGAATTTTCTAAGTGGGCTAGGTTGAATTTGACTAGAATTTCACTTAGAATTTAAATCTTGTTTTTGTTCTCTAAATTGACGATTTTTTACTTGTATCACTTTTCACAGGAGGCACAGAAATATTCATACATTGTTTTATTTTTTAGTTAATGTCAAATAATTATTAATCAATAAATCAAAAATAAAATTAATATCAATAATTCAAATCATCAAACCATTTTATCGATCAACGTCCCAACCCTGTTTCAACACTATCTTTAAAATATCCAATCACAGCGCATTTGACATGTTCCCCGCAACCCTTGCATACCGCCAAATTTGGTGAACTCCAATCCAAACTAATATTCAATAATGCGGCATCTATTAGAAAGTAATCTGTGTTAATGCACAGATGGTTTATCTAACACTCTATTAATTGTCCTTAGTCCATGGTTTCGGTAAAGAAGAGAGTACTGGTCATGAAATTTCAAACATAAGAAATGGCGAAATAAACTAATTAAGAATGTGAGAAAACTTAAGTGAACTAGACCTCTGTAAGGCATAATATCTCACCGGTGTAATGATTTCCACCAAAATCACAAGGTGAAAGAATACTGATACTTATATAACTCTTTAGAAGCATCTGTTATAGCTTCTACTTCTCTTAAACTATCCCACACTTGGACAATACATAATTTAATAGAGGCCCCTTTTTTACAAAATCCTGATTATCGCAAATTATAATTAAACAGCAAATAAAAACTGTAATCACCTGATGCGTGAATCTCCTTGTAAAGAATGGTATCAAATACTTCATATCCAACCGCACAAAACCCTTTAATCTCGTTGCATGGGAATAATTCACCTAAAAGATTACCAAATAAATTATGTAATAATAAACATATGGACATAAGTGATATTCTAGTTTGTGACAATAATAATTTTGTTAAAAGTCAATTAGTAAAAAACAAATGGGAAGGTTTGTACGTATATAATACCTATGTTAAATGTGAGACCTACACTAGCTAACTCAGATGAGTCAGTACAGAAATAAAGACTGACTGGTCTGTTGTTTGTAGTACACATATATGAACCCTTTATTAATATCCTCTTAGCTTTTTTTACTAAAAACAAATTGTGGTATAATAATAGACTGGAATTGAAAGTTTTTAGTAGGTATAGTTTAGATTTCAACTATCATTTTACCTATGTAGGTAGGTAGGATTAGGCAAGAACATGGAAATTTGTGTTCTATGTGCCTGCCTTTCGTCTCGAGGAACAGATGAGTATAATTTTATTTTGTATCTGTAGTTTTTGTAAGTAAACAGCAATTGCCAGAAGAAATTCTTTTCTTAACATCCCATGTCAGATTTCTACTTACTTCTAATTCCTCTTCTGTTATTTCTGACAAATGCTCAGAATCTATAGCTTGACCCCATTCCTTCGTTTTAGATAAACTGACTTCTTTTTGTTTGCGCAATGATCTCGAACGTTTCACTTTCTTGTTAGCCTGCAAAATCAAACAAATACAAAACTAAAAATACATCAACGACAAGGAACCCAATTTTATTTTTGTGTATGAACAATTTGTTCTGGAACAAAAATACAAACTATCTCGAAATTGCAGTAACATTCAGATTCACTACATTTACCTACTTTAAAAAAAAACCAAAGTAGTCTATACAAAACATTATTGTTGTTACGACTGTGTTTGTAATTTTATATCGTTACAAACACAATCAATTGAAAAAAAATACTAGACAATTTCACTGTAATTATGTTAAACTTCCTTTCTAAGGAGAGGCCTATGTCCAGTAGTGGACTGTTATAGGCTGTTGATTGATGATGATGATGTTACCTACCCTTAAAAATTTCAGCAATGGCATCGTAGATCCTCCAAAGAATAGTGTCGTGAATAACACGATAATAAGAGTAGTAGTGATAATAACATGGCGAGTCTCATCTGAAAACCCGAGATGAAGTGATAAGGCGTACGATATAGCGCCTCTAAGTCCTGAAAAAAATACGTGTTGGTAAAGGTTATCTTTATATATACTTTCAGCATTATCATAGGTAATACAAATAGAGAAGCTGGTATGAGGCACGAAACTAAGAGATATGAAGTTTGAACCTAAGGAAAATCTCTCATTTGTGATCTGAAAATATAAATGTGTTATGTTATCCTTCTACCCTCTTGAAACTAAGTGGTGCGGCATTTTTCATGGTGCTGCTGGTGACATTAAGGGTAAATAAATTCAGCTATATAGATAAGTTCGGTAAGAGTTTCAAATTGGGCACTCTTCAAGTCAATGACATTCAGTAATATTTCATTCAGTCACCAAACAGCTTCCAAGCTTTCATACGACACAATTATTTCTTGGAATCTGTTTGGTCAGGGGGCCGAACTTGATCGATGCGTCACTATTCTCTTACAGCGAATTTACCATTGTAATGTGAGCCCCTCGTTAACTAAAAGCTATTGTGTTTTGTGGGTATTGATTGGTACACATAAACTTCATATCAAGTACCTACACAATACACAAATATTATTAGTAAGTAAAAATTATCTAAAAAAAATATACGTTACCACTAAACCACATGATAAACATCATTTTCTTAGTTATTTTGTGTTCGCGGAATTTGTTGCAGAGTAAAGCGAGTGGAAATATGTTAGCAGCTCTGCCTAGCAGACACATGACTATACTCCAAACTACAAGTGCTGGTTCTACTCGATGTCTGAAGCTGAAAATATACAAAGATGTAGATTATGTGCATGAGACGCAGGGCCTTATGATAAAACTGAATTAAAATAAAGTAGACATCCGTAAACTGCAATCAATAAAATAGTGAAGCAGCTAACAAAACTGGGTTAAATCCTACTTTCGAAAAAGTAGGGTTTAACCCAGTTTTGTTTATTAAGATCTTAGGAGTGTTCTATTTATCGCAAGGTAGGTGGATTCGCCAGTTGAATCTTGTGCTTTAAGTACAGACTTGTGAGTAGAATGCTGTATAGATGATAACCAATATGTATTCTCACTTTAAAGTATTATAGTTTGATTTTGTAAAGCAATATGTAGATATCACACACAACATTCCTTTTTTAATACAGCCCTGTTTAAATGAAAGTAACACAAGGTCGCAACTCACTTCATAGTTCGTAAAACCGCGCAATCAATAGCCTAAAGCCACCGCGTGATTCAATTATTACGACAACGTACAAGTAGCAAGTTTGGACAAAGCCTTGAAGGTTATTTACTAAAACATATATATCTAGAGTACACTCAATTCACTACAATTACTTGAACAGTAATTTTACTTGTAATTATTAATAGTATAAAGCTGCAGAGTTTGTTTGGTTGAACGCACTAATCTCAGGAACTACAGGTTCGAAATGCTACGGTCAATGAGAGCAGAGCATTAATGAAAAATGGGGAAATTTTATTCCTTTTGAGAGACGCAGACGAAGTTGCACGGGTCAGCTTATTATAAATGGTCAATGATGGTACTAACTGCGTCAATTTTCGTAGCCCTACACTATGAGGTGCACTATTCTAGAAGTCAGAAATAGTTGCGATAACATACCTTCATATTATTAAGTATATATAAGACAACAAAGAAAAATATCTTGTTTATTTTATGCTGTAAATAACCCTTGGTTTTGCGCTTTAACAGAAATAGCAACTGCATCTCCATTTTAAGATATGAACACAGGAGAACGTAGTTTTTAGGGCTCCGCGCCTCAAAAGATAAAAAAGGAACCCTTATAAGATCACTTTCGTGTCCGTCTGTCCGTGTGTCACCACCGATTTTCTCAGGCACGGGTAGACCTAGCAAGTTGAAATTTATACCAGATACTGAGGTCTATGGTCCCTATTAGATATATACAAATCAATCATAAATCAAGTTTTCGACCTATAGGGACCTATAGACTTCCGGTTGACCTAGAATCACGAAATTTGGCAAAAAGAAACGTCTTACAGCTCAAATAAAGGAATAATTCCAAAAAATAAAAAAAGTTGAAAATTAAGATAAATTTTGGTACTTACAAATTTTCGCGAAAATCTAACTAAAATCTGGGAAGGTACGGAACCCTCGGCGCACGAGTTCGACTCGTACCTGACCGGTTTTAGAAACAATTCAAGGTTAAATTCTCTAATTATAAAAGCAGACTGACATTAATTTTAATTAGTTTTAAAAATGTTCTGTCTGTTTTATTAATATTTTTACAAACGAAGTTTTAGTATTAAAATCGCCTAATTGCGTGGCCGATTCTAGTTCAGGTGTATTATAGGATTCCGTTGTTTTTCACTGTAGTTGGGGTGTCACATGTTCAAAAAACATTTTTTTTATTCTGGGTGGAAAATGACCTTCAGTTTCCGCCAGTTTTTATTAAATTCCATCCAAATTCGCATAAAAATGTTTTCAAATTACCTGAATATAGCTAGTCCCAAGTAAGCAAAAACACATGTCTCTGCAATAAATGCAAGTGTTCTCATAGTCTGCTGCATAGTGACCTGAGTCACCGTTGAAAGGTTGAAGTGAGTGTAGTGAGACATCACAATACCACAGAATAATATTGCCATTATACCTGTAATAAAAAATATAGGTACATCAGTATTTCCACTAAGTGGGCTAACCTCTGATTCTAACAAGATATAAGAATAAATTACAAAAAAGTACAGTACAGTACATTACATTTGAAAGGATATACATTATGAAAAAAGGAATTATTAATGTTACAAATGAACTAACAGTAATTCCATTAAAATGTAAATAGAATAGACTGTAATAAATTTATAATAAAATCGTTATCATTAGTTAATGAGCATATTGTACAGGGCCTCAATTCTGCTATTTTATGTTCACGCCAAGCCAGTGTCATACCACTGACACGCTATTGAGATGCCATCGAGTGGCCATTGGCATCGGTGTAAATATCGGTAGTTGAAAAGATATTACGTTTTTTGGGGAAATGATTTATTTATTTTATTTTTTTAATAACTTATTATAATAAAAATAAATAAATCATTTCCTCAAAAAACGTAATATATTTTCAACTACCGATGTTTATACCGATGCCAATGGCCACTCGATGGCATCTCAATAGCGTGTCAGTGGTCTGACAGTGGATTGGCGTAAACATAAAATAGCAGAATTGAGGCCCAGTTTGATTGTGAAATGCAATTAAAATTCAAATTTACCTGATAAATGAATTCCTTCAGCCAACACATATGGAGCATAAGTGAATACTAACATCATACCAAACTCTAGAGAGGGATTTTTTCGAAGATCAACATGTTTGAGTAGAAGAGCACTAACAAGTGCGAATAATACACCTATACCGGCTGATGCAAAAAACATTAACCAAAAGCGATTGATTGCTGAAAGAATTGCCTCACCAGTTGACATTAGAGGATCATTTGAATCTAAAACAGCAGTAGTTAGAACAATAGCAACTGCATCATTTAATATACTCTCTCCAAACACCAACATGTTAAGTACAGGGTCTACATCCAAAGCATGAAAAATTGCCACTGTGGCAACAGGGTCCACTGCAGAGATCAGAGAACCAAACGCAAATGATTCCACAAAACTCAATTTATACACCACTTGCGCCAAACCTAACAAATATATACCAGCACCGATAACAAATGCTGATATAGCAGTGCCTACTATTGCAAACAATAAAATAGATCCAATATTTTGAAAAAAATTACCTTTATGAAGATTGTAACCAGATTCAAATATGATAGGGGGTAATAGCACTAAGAAGAAAGCAGTTGGTGAAAAGGCTTCTTCTTTTCTCCAGTTGGCTATGTTTCTAATAGACATTAAATTAATCAACATACCAATTAAGGCCCCAAGGAACACTATTACTACACTCTCAGGTAGATATGAAAATCCAGTTTGTAACATAAGGTGAATGAGAAGAATGCCAAGAGCCAGCACACACAGTACAAAAAATATAGCCATTGAACTGTTATGTTCATCTTCAGCTGAACTTTTTTCTGGTAAAGGAGCTGCATCTGAAGGACTTACAACAGATGCATTAGGAGAGACCGAAGACGAAATATTTACTAGAACTGAAGATAATAGCGATTCATTTTTCTCACTAGTCGTATTTGAAGATTCTGTTGAAGACGGTTGAGAAGAATTAAGCTGACTGTTTATTGTTGATTCACTAGTACTAGACAGATTCTGTATATCGGCTCGTTTGGACCTAACCAGTTCATTGTTGTGGAGATGATTAGCAGATCCTTTTGTTGGCAAAGTGTTAGTCTGCTTGCTAGAAGTTGATTGAGTAGAGCTTATTTCGTTAGACGAAGAAGAGGACTTTATATGTTGTCCATAGCAGAAACTTATTATACATATTAATCCAATCCAAAACACATCTTTACGGATACACGCCATCTTAATAGCTTCACAGACAAAAAAGCTATTTGACTTATTTTTAATCCTTTCAATAATTTTTCTATCACAATAAAATTCAAGGATGACGACACAGACACAGACACAACTGAGAGACGTCAGTGCAGTGGCAGTTGGCACTTGGCAGTCACGTCTTGAGTTGACAAATAAATGGTAGGTAAGTAACACGGTAACACAACACTGTTGACGTTTCAAGCCTGAGACTGAGATATTCATGTGGAAGCGTTCAGGAAATACTCTGAAATCAAATTCATAAACTTTATATTGTCTTGTTATTTCGGTAAATAATATGTTATTTTAATTAAGATAACCATTTAAAGGCTGGAATAGAACGGATGAAATTAAGGAGAATAAAATTCAATATATTTGTTTTCATTAGTTTTATTTCTTTTTTTCATGTTAGAGCGGGCAGACGAGCAGACGGGTCACCTGATGGAAAGTGACCATCGCCGCCCATGAACGACTACAACTGCAACGACTTCGCTCGATATGTCGATGCCTAGGATTCTGATGCTGGCTGAGGCAGTTGGGGAGGTACTCTCAAACTGAGGTAATACGACAAATGGTATCTTTTTTGTGGTGAACGCGCAAACCTGTTTCTTTTTTGGGTTGAAATGGACTAGATTTAGTCTACCCCAATATGAAACCTCCGCTAAGGAAGTTTCAATTTCAGACACAAGTTTATTAGGACTCTCGTTACGTTTCCCCTGTGCTATCATCTGCATAGCAATGGATGCTACTACTGATTTCTTCACCTTCAAATCCCAAAACCAAAAACTATAACAACTTTCCTGTGTGAAAGAAATTATCACAAAAGACAAAATACTAGAATTGCCTGCTGCGTTCAAGAAAAAATCATTAGAAAATTAAAAAATGTTTTAACACATAGTCTAACTTCAGTAAATTTAATCCGATAGGAAAAAATATATATTTTAGAGAAACAAAGAAAAGAAAATATTCTTCAAAATATACAAAGAAAAACCAATATTTTAGAGTAGGTAACCTACATAGTGTTTGTGACTAAAAGACTTTGTCTATGGCCTCGAAAAAAATAAAAAATAAAAATCCAAATATAACATGACGTAAACAAAATAAGTATGTCTTTGAAGTTTTTTAGTTATAAAACAATACTAATGTTCATAATTAAATAGAAAGTATCAACATATTTGCAGAGTTTAATTGTGTTTTTAAGTTCTCAACGTCGTTATATAATAATATTAATAGAAAGCCTGAATGGTAAGTATGTAGACGTACAAAGCATCATAGCATTGTCAAATGCGTTTGCATGTATAGTAATCAAGTTTTTTTATTGATTATGTTTGTCACTCCACAACACTATTAAAGTTTATAACACCTGATTTCAATGTTTTGATTAACATGGCATTGTTATACACATGCTTGATTTCACAATTATGTATTGCATTCATCTAAAAACAACAGATACTTTGATTCTTAGCTTTGTATTAGATTCTAGATATAGAAGTTTATTTTATTTATCGCTGTTGTAAAACGTCGGATCATGTATTCAGGCACTGTATAATCTATTATACAGTGCCTGAAACCATGATCCGACGTTTACGATAAGTTTGCTTACTATGGACCCATTACTAAATTCAAATTTTAATTTACTTAAATTAATTCACTGACTATAATTATAATTACAGTGCCGACAACCATGGAAAAAGAAGAAATATTGTTGGGAGTGGAAATGGGAAGGCTTGAAATTGAACCGGTAAAATTAAGTAATAGAAATAGTGAGAACCCCTTTATAAATTTATTGCAGAAAAGAAAATTTTTCAAAAGTCCCATACTTCCAAAGGAATCTAAATGTACATGCAGCACACAAAGAAAAGTAAAACATAGTGCAATATACAAAAAAAAACATAGTAAAATACTTAAGGAACCAATTTTGAAAATTTTGAAGAACTGTGGTAATAGCATTATTTCAGAAGCAGAAGTGTTACAAGAATCTACAAGCAAAAATACTTTTGATATTCTGAGATGTGATCCATTAAATTTATGTACTCTTGTACACAATTGCAACCAATTAACTATATCATCTAGGACAAGTGATCAAAGTTTAGTCACAGAAGTTGACAATGAACGTAAGTGGTGGAAGAATGACATAGTAAGTTCACAGGAGACCAAGGAACCCAAAGCACAGAGTAGTCGGTCTGGAACCTGCTCTCAGCAAGCTCTTAATCCTCCCTGTGATGTCACTATTGATGAACTAGCAAGTTATTTTGAAACATTGGTTCATATACCAAAGAAGATGTCATCCATGGCTGAAATGATGTATATCTAATGATCAAAATTTGTACTACCTATAGAATATGTCTAAAAATGAACAATTATGAATGTGTAAACAGAAAAAAACCATAAGCTTAGTAAATAAAGTAAGTGTACCAAGTTTTGTTACAAGATGTCAGTCAAATGCAATGTTTATAAATAATAATTAACTGAACTATTTTACAATTATGAATTCAAACAATTCTGCATACTGTTAGGCAATACTTGAAATTTTGATTTCAACTTACTAATTTACAATGACAAAAACAGTATCTTACATATGTCAGTGTAAATTATGCTGTATATGGCCTCCGAGTAATCCACATCACTAATAGTAATAGTTATAGTGAGAGTATGAAGTATACATTGTAGTTAAATATTGCATCAGCCACCAGAAGTATATGTAAGAAACGATAATATATGAGTAATATGTCCTCAATTAAATTAATATACTTGTACAAAGAAATTAAAAAAAGATTTATAATGTAATGTATGCAGCCTGTTAATGTTTCAAATATGATAGTACTAAATAATACCAGTACTGTTACTGTTTAAGGCATTGTAATAAGTGTGCACACTTCTCTAATATCTTGAGGTCCATCAACTTAATCAAATACCTTCATCAAGCAGTTGGCTGTTAATGTCACCAGCAGTGAATCCACCTTTTAAATCTGACCATATCCTTTCTGTGTATTCAGGATCCACAATAAGCTCCAATCTCATTACCTTCTTAAAATTGTTGGAATCAGGCCCAGCCCACAGGGGGTCATCACAACCATGAGCCCCTTGGATCCGCCCTTAGGTGTCATCCAGTGTAGTAGTACCCAAAACAACTATTGGTAGTAACCAATGAGATCACTCACTATATGATTACAATCCTAAAACTATTACATCACTGCTGTTTAGAAGTTGCACACAGATTCTTTAAGAATGTTTATTAAATTGTTAAAGAGAATTTTTGAAACCTCAAACATCTTGCCTCAGATGTACAAGTTTTTTGTATACTATTCATTTGTTGATACAGTATAGATTAAAACTGTTGAAGAACTCCATTTGTCAGATACTTTAAGTTAGCTATTTGGTGTCACCCGACTCTCACTCAAATTAATGAAAAAGTAGATTTTTAAGATTGAGAATGTAATGTAACAGTAAGAATACAGCAAAAAATTAAAAAAAATTGTTTTTATTTTCAATAGTTACATTTTGAGTGTAACATAAAACCTTTTTTTATAAAGGCAAGTTAGTAACTAAAAATAGGAAAATAGCTTTGTTGAGAAAGCATGGACTATAAGTTCCCCCAAGCATTTTGTAGTAAATAGTGTAATAGACTTGATCTTGAGCCAAATTGGTGCGCAAATGCACCTCTTCACGCAGCTCATTCATGAGCGTATAAAAAAAGTCAAACGGAACTCACGCTAAGACAAAACTGAGGCACCGTAATGGCGGCAGCTCTTTGTGTGAGGGTCAATTTCAATCTACAAATCGTGAAAAGTGGGTTTATGAAATAACTTCTTTAATACTGTTGGAATTCGCGTAATTTCTATTTAATGCACCATTTTCACCAGACCAATAACGCATATTTTGCTTATTGACGAACCCATTGAGCCAAAAATGAGCTTTGTCACTGAAGATGATTTTGCGATGAAATTCATCATCTTGGCGCATCTCGGAGACCAATCGGAGAACGTACGTCGCGTCAAATGGTCCATCGGTTTCAATTCTTGAGTCAGTTTGATTTTGTATGGGTGTACGAAGCATGCCTTTTAAGTTTTGTCGTTTGAAGAAAAAAACACAACTAGAACCTTATAGTACTTTTATTGTTTTTCAAAATATTCACCACGTAGCTTAATACACTTTTCCATTCGCTCAAACCAGTTATAACATTTATTCCACTCTAAAGTGGGGGTGTTCAAAATGGCTGACTTGAAAGCGTCGACTGCTTCTTCACCGGACTGAAACCTTTGACCACGAAGACTTTTCTTAATTTTAGGAAATATAAAGAAATCGTTAGGGCTTAGGTCAGGACTGTATGGAGGATGGTCAAGAACTTCTACTTTTTCCTGCTTCGAATACTCAATCGTTTGACGAGCGCTGTGTGAGCTTGCGTTGTCGTGGTGCAGGATGATGCGTCGCTTTGAGTTAGATTTTCGAAGTTCGGCGATGACTTGTGATAAACAAACTGTGGTATACCCATTGAGTATCAATGGGTATACCACTCTGCGTTAACCGTTCTACGATCTTCAAGTGCAATAATCGCAACATGGCCGGTTTTTCCAACGAACGTGGCCACGATCTTCTTTGAAGTGCTTCGAGAACGAATAACTTTAGTCGGCGACGTGATTTAACTCTCCTCGGATGAACCTTTGCAGTTTTCTTACACCATCTGACGCGAGCCGCCTTGTGATCGTCGGAAAGCAGATACGGTATCCAACGGCAAACTAGCTTTCTTACACCAAGCGCTTCATGCATGATCTTCTGAATGGTTGTTCCCGAGATGCCTAATAGAGCCTCTATCTCTCGATACGTCACATGACGATCTTCGAGAATTAGTTTTCTCACAGCAATGATGTTATCTTCAGTGAAGGCGGATTTTGGGCGTCCTTCGCGAGATTTGTCACTAACACTAGTATGTCGACGCTGAAGTTCTAAATACCAGCGTTCGACAGTCCGCAGACATGGGGCTTCATCACTGAACACAGATGTTATCTCTTCAAAACACTGAAGCCGTGTCAGGCCTCTTCTAAAGTTGTAGAAAATTATTGCACGAACATTTTCCTTAGAAAGATTCATTTTCGTACGTAACCTGACAGATTCCAATCCACGCTGTGACTAAACAATAGCATTAATCCTAATACTTTCAACTGTTTTGAGATTCAAAATTTAAACACATTCGAATATAGAACAGTTCCAAATTCAAAATTGCCGGGAAATGTGGAACGACAGAACTTAAAGGGCATGCCTAGTAAATCAAGATCTTTACGTAAACTTTTCCATAAACTGATCTTGGCGATACCCAGTTCTTGAGAACGCCGCGGAATCGTTTGATGATTTGGATCGTTTGCTACGGACGCCTGAACGGCAGCGATATTTTCGTCACTTCGGCCAACCCGTTGTCTCAAATTTTTGCACTAAACTTGTTTTTGCTTGTCTAATAGGGCCAGAATAACGACCGAAAATTGGAGTTAACGCTCTTAAAGTTGCGGTCACCGACTCCGAATTTCGGTAGTATATTTTTATAATTTGCATACGTTGTTCGTTCGTGTACTTTACCATGATGAAAATGTTGAGTTTACTGAAAAAAAAGGAAAGTAACAGTTAGATGATCAGTGAAATAGTGCGTTCACAAATTAAATTCAAAGTTGTCAAGTACCTATTGGAAAACCCTGTATTAGTAGGAAGTAGGATTAGGTACCATGGGAGATATCATTGATAGAAAGCTCTTGAAGTTTGCTAATAAAAATGAGGTTTAAAATCATATTTGAGAATGCAAAAGGTTAAAAAAGCCAAATAATTAGGTATAACCCTCATTTGTCGTAGTCAAGTAATAAACCGCTTCATTCACGTAGAATGGAATTTTATCAGTGTTACTAAAAAAAAGACGCTAATGAAGTGACACGAATGAAATTTGCTAATCTACGTGCATAGTTTTATTGTTCAAACACTTATTATCTCAGTATTATGAGTATAAACAAAAATTTTATCATTCAATTCTCGTATTAAGCACAGAAATAAAATTAATATGCGATTTCTTACCAGAATGGCGAAGCGCACGTCTGCTATCACCCAAAGTTCACGTGCGCCACTAGAGTCCCGTTACGCAGTGTAGAGTTAGACTGGGGATGGCGGTAACACACAGGTGTTCTAATAACAGAACGTTTTATTTGCTCGACAATAACGATTGAAAAAAGTGATCGCAAAATAAAACACAGAGAAATCGTATAAAATTTTGTAACCCTTTAAAAGTATCAGTGTAACTTGAGTTCATGGTCATCAATGTGTAACCATTAGAAGAATAAAATAAAATATTACAGAGTAGGTACCTAGTATTTTTTTATAATTTAAGTTTTGTTAAAAATTCTGTAAAATTACCAGTGATACAAATGAAAAATAGGTCGTTCCTTTAAATTATCTCGAATATTAAATATGATAGTTTAATATTTCTAATGGTCCAATATTAAGATATAATGTAAGCATCGCATTAAATGCGCCGGAGGGCATTTGTCGATCTCCGGCCACCTGGCAAGTGGCCTTCGGGCAACGAGTTTGGGGAATTTGTCATCCGAACAGACGCAGGCCTGACATGCAGCGCACAGTGTTTCGTGTGAGAGGACTGCGGCCGAAGAGAGGCCCCTATTGGGGGTGGCGGAAGAATGCAATTGCGATTCTCGCTTCCCCGGCCATTGGTAAAGAGAGGAACACCGGGGTGGTTTATAGTAGGTAAGAGTCCGACCGACCCCTTCGCCATCCCAAATGGGCGAAGGACATCCATGAGGATCTTCCACCCCGTTACACACCCTACATACCCTGATACACCCTATTATACCGTTGTAAAAGTAGTTAACAAACATGAGTGATGTGTAGTTAACAATTTCTATAACAGACAAGATATGGCTGCCGTCTATTAGAAACAATAAACCGAATGCAAGTATGCTGAAGAAAAGATTTTAATCTACTAAATCCTGCTTCTCTACCTCTTAGAAACGAGAAAAATCTGTAAAATCCTTGCCCTATATATTGCAAACCATACAATCTGAAGTAGCAAAGTAGGTATCGACAAACTTTGGCGGATAAAATTTCTCGAGTGGTGATCACGGTTTCGTCCGCAGCGTAAACGTGGGTACCTACTATGTAGCGACGCTCTAATGACGGGATTCACTGAATTCTTAAAAATTCAATTTGGGGCAGACTTATTCTCAAAATAGAGATGTTTAAGTGTTGTCTCTTGTTTGTATTTTCACAATCAAAGGTGAACTTGTCACCATGTCATTACAAAACATGTGGGAATGTGTGCTAAATTTAGAACAAAAGTTTTGCTTTTTCATTGTTTGCTATATGCTATAGCATTGCATTGGTTTATCTATAGCAGTCGTCTTTAAGTTTCTTGTAAACATAAAATGAACTTGACAGAATAGGTTTAGACAAGACGCAATCTTGTAAAGATATCAAATGGTAATGCAATAAAGAGTATTGAATTGCAAGGTACAATGTATTAAAATGATTAGACTCCTTTGTAAGCAATCGTTTTTTGGGAACTATACTTTATGAGCAAGAAGAAATACAGATGTCAATGCCTAAACAACGTTGTTGTAAAGATCTCTATATCTCTCATTCATCTTGCTACTGACAACCATTTAATCATTAAAAAAATTGTTAACTGTATTTCAAAACTAAATAATGCATAGTTTTAACTGTTGGTACAATGTTTTCTTAGATGCTTATACATATTCTACAAGATATTTATTGTTTTCAATTGCTATTATTATAATGTCGATATTGTCCGTATGGATTTCGGAAAAACCGCGATTTTACAAGGTAGGTGCATTATTGCAATCCAAATACCTATTTTTTGTTTTGGACTTTTACCATATTAATATACTTACTTGAATAGGCTCATGCCTATGACCATATGTAATAGAATTTAACAGGGCCTCTCGGGGCCCCGAAGAAAACCTTAACATTAACGGCTCGAGAGGCTCTCCATCATGCAATTAAAAGGGTAGAAAGTTAATGTAGCTTTAGTTTCTTACCCATTTGCTTCCTGCAAATATTGCCAGACTTGTTTGCTAGATCAGTTTAGGGGTGTCCAAGAAGACTCGTTCGATAAGCCGTCTTCTTTAGTTCAACTACTAGACATAACTACCTACCTACTTTACGTAGTCACAGTAAAGGTACATATTGAAATAACGATTACTTAATGGTTTTAAAGGAGTTAGTAATTAATCTCAGTATCTACGTATATTTTGCTTTCAGTTGATATATCAAAGGAGTAAACATTCAAATATAGACTCCCCAATACAAAGTAATGAAGCACTTGAATCAAATTACATTGACTGTGAGTTCAATGTGTCTGAAAAAAAAAGTCTAGAAACTGACTACAGGTGCCAATATAGTCAATGTAATTTTTAGGTAAGCTTATTTATGTATAAATAACGTTAAACACCTACTTTGTAAAATTGCCAAAGGGGTAAGAGCAGGAGTAGGAAATCAAGCGTATAATATAATCCTAAATTTGAAGAATCACTAAATTTGAAATGTCTTTTTTTTTTATTTAAGTTGCAATTTTAAAGTATCTACGCTTGTCTGCACTAGGCTAATTATGTTATATATCTTAAGTCGCGAGAGCTCCTTCGAGTGATAATGGTGTGAAACTTGATTATCAGAAACAAGAGTTATATAATACAATCATTTTTATTCGTGGCAGCCGAAAAAGCAAATTATTGTCTTATAAAAAGTAAGACAATATGTACTAACACTATAAAATAAAAATATGTAATATCAACATTGAGAAAACATACAGGTGCAAAATATTACTACTTAAGGATGTTCCACTTTATTTTTCACACTAATAAGAAGTGGCTTTTGAATTATAGTACCGATATTAAACAGTTTAGTTGATACTTTAGAATGTTTGTAGTCGATTCGGTTAAAGAAAAAAAAAAACTTTTAACGGTACTTACTTAAAAAACCATTGAAAGCTTAGAATTAGAAGTATTGGTCGGGTCTAAAATGATAAAAAATAAAATTTTAATGTTAACTCGACATCAATAATTTGAACATTAAATTAGCTAGGTGAGTTTCATCCACCACTCAAAAATAACCTCGCGAACACACAGAATTGAAATAATGCAAAAGTAAATATTTCAAATAGAAAAAAAAACCTAATTGTTTTCAAGCAATAGTGTTTTTATAATTAGGTAATTGGGTATTTGGAGTATATCCACAAGAAAAGTGTAATCTTTGTAAATAATAAAAGCTATTCATAAGCTGGTACGTAATATATTCGCCGACTAAACACATCCGATTGAAAGCTTGATTACAATAAAAATCTGTGTCTGATATATTGCTTTATTTCAATTCCACATTAAAACCAGACTAGTATTGTTTACTTTCCTAGATCAGATTCTAACATTAGGGACAAACCACACTTATTCAGCCCTGTCCTAGTGCCCGACTCCTCGTGACAAGTTGCGACCTGCGTAGTTTACAATCTTACGAATGTTGTACGCAGCTGATAGAAAAGCAGATCTATATAGGCGTAACAAAATCATTCAGTGTAACGCGAATGGAGCTAAATAAATGTAGTTAGTCCCTTAAGGTCCACAATTGAATTTGTTTTTTTTTTTCAAAATATTGTGTTTATATTGAACATAGAACTTGGTCAACATTACGACTTGCCGCAAATTATTAAAAAAAAAAAAGTTCATTTTCGTCCGAAACCATTACAGGAAATGATTATAATATGAATTGACTTGTATGAAGATTATCTTCACGAGTCTTACTTTGAATATATTGTCATGAATCTGATCAACTGTAGGTATATTACACATGGTTTGTCATCATTACAATAATGGATTATGCAAAAAAGTCTATTATACATTAGTATACTTACTTAATATTATTTAAGAATTGAAATGGATCTCATTATTAAAAAACTGGTTCAACTTTACGAAACATTACAAATATTCAAGATACACAATCAACAATAAGATTTTTTTATATATGTAAGTTCTGACAGTATATTTTAATCGTGATGATTGCACAATATTTATGGCCCCAGCAGTCAATTACAATGAATAGCAAAGATTAAGGTACTTATTCACTAACAAATTCACTAATTATAATATAATAATGTCAAGGAATAGATACACTATCTTTTAGGTTATGCGGCATCTCGTCAAAATACGGAATATAAATTGATTATCGGTTAACAACTGACAACACCATTAGAAGCTAGAGCAAAATTTTCACTCTGTGTGTCATGTAGAGTCAAGACTATTCACGATTCCATTACATTTTTTAATATATATATTTTTACAATCACATTATAAATTTTGATTACCAAAAGTACACAATTCATAGGATTTATCGGACATAGTCTGAAACCACTGTATACATATAAACATGTAGATACGATATTTTGTAATAAATTTAACATGATTGACTACAGTACAGCACCCCAAATATTGTCCAGCAAACCGACGCTGCTATAGGGTGTTCAAAGTAATATACATTTTCATACACAATTCCACAGCTCACATTGCGCACCATTAGAAAAATAAATTATAGATGCTCCTAAACTAATATCTTCAAATTTATCTTGGCATGTTTTCGCTGCACATCTGAAAACAGATATTATCATCATTACAAACAATTGTATTCTATGAGTATACTGACTTTTTAATCCCATATTATTCATTTTATGCACCCTAATAAATGCAAGAAAGTTCATATTTTTATTTAAACTAAGTTTTTACTAAATAATATGTATCATAGCATTTGCAAAAATTAAATTGCTGCAAATAAGACTACGATCAGAAATGCTAATTATATATTTATGAAACTCATTTAATCAGGTAAAAAATTAAAAAGAAAACCATTTTGTCATTTAAGAAGCAAATAACGCAATAAAAGCAGATTCTATTATTTGGATGGTGACCGCAAGAATACTTACAGCAGTTGAGCAGGAGATAGATGAATAATTTGTTTGATTGTTGGGAGAACCAGGAAACATGTTCATCGGAACATGTGGTGGTGGTGGCGGTGGGGGATGTGTCGCAAGTGGGGACACAGGCGGCGCTGCGTTCGAGAATGCACCGCCTGCGTTGCTCGGACTGCCCGTCGTCGATAATCTCGAAAACGCCGCTAGGGCATCCGGAAAATTAGGTGGCGTAGCTGGAGTATTGCATGGTGTCATCAGTTGCTGAAACAAGGAACGGCAACTAGTGTATTTATTGAACTATAATTACCATAACATTAGAATAAAATCTTTGTTATACGTGTGCATTATTTTATATAATGACGGGCCTATTGGTCTAGCGGTTAACGATTCTGACTGCTAGGTCAGACGTCGATTTCCACCCAGGAAAAATATTGTGTGATGATCATGATTATTTCTTTTCTGTCTAGAATATGTATGTGCATATTATTTAGAATACATACGGTTGACGACAATAGGCTCTCTCTGTCTGTCTGGCTAGATTCTGTCTACCGCTTCGATCTTCGAAGCGGTAGACAGAATCGGAGTGTATGTTTGTACAATAAGCTAGCCGATACCACTTCCTTTTAAGTTCGCACGTTAGCTTCAATGTACCCCACAAATTGTAAACATATTTCATATATTGGTTTTATTGTGACTCAGCACTCTCAGCACGGCAACCATTCTAGCATTTCGAAACCTGTCTGTCTGTTTCAAAATAGATGGATGACACTGGCTAATTTTCACTAAAATTTGATACCTAATATTATATGTTGAATAAGAAGTAAACTTGTATTTCAAAAGCCAAAGAATCGTTTTTATAGTACTAGTTAGTTGCAAAATCCAATAATTCCTTGGCTGATTCGTTGATAAAAAATATTTTATTGGCATACCTGGCGATAATGGGGCGCAGCGATTCCATTAGCTCCAGCAGGTAAAGCTACTTCTTGAAAAAATATTGATAATGCCGTCTGTAATGCAATAAATACTGGTTTTACAAAGGAACTTCTAGGAAACAGTTCCTACACCTTAGGCTAAAATATGTTGATGATAATGTTTTACAGGTCTTCTTGTCCTACCAAAAACACTAAAAAAATCCAAATACACAGGCCATCTGACAATAAGAAATGTTATGGGGAAGCCGGAAATCGATCGAAGTGACGTGCAATGGGAGGGGTGCCTCTGTCCGGCAGTGGACTGCTAAAGGCTAATGATGATGATGGTGTTGATTTGGTTTAGTTTCGTTTCTAAAATTGTACAAAACAGAACCCTCAAATTTCTATCCAATGGACGCTTACCGTCTAGATGCTTGCTTCTGAACGTGTACGAGATTATTTCTTATGACTGACGTAGAGTTCATATAGTCGATTTTTTTAGATATGACACGAAAAAAAATCTTCTGCTGCGTACACTGTGTATTTAACAAACAGACCTGTTGGTGTAGTGGTTAGTGATCCTGACTGCTAAGCCAGAGGTCGTGGGTGCGATTCCCACCCAGGACAAATATTTATGTGATGAGTTCGATCATTTGTTCTGTCTGGGTGTCATTTTTCTATAATATGTATGTATTTACAAATATATAAGTATGTTTATCAGCATTCTGGTTACCTTAGTACAGGCCCTGCCTAGTTTGGGATCAAACGGCTGTAACACATTCTACAGATGTGTGAAGTTATTCTTAACACTACACTTTTAAAAGCAAAAAAGTAGCCTATTGGTTATTTCAGACTATGATCTATCTCTGTGCCTAATTTTATCCAGATCCATTCAGCCTTAACAAACGTCCATTCAAACTTTCAGGTTTATAATATTAGTAAGATTTGGTCCTGAAAGGTAACAAACACACAAAGTTCAAATTCTTAATCTTATGTAATTTGAATAAAATCGGACAAAAATGTTTTTGAAGTGGTAATTATTTTTACATACAGGAATGATAACAAATATAGACAACAAGATAAAATGCCAGTAATTTTTAGACCTGTGATAAGTTTAAATACGTTGGCTCCCGAAAAATCCATATCATAAAACGAAATTATTTGTTTAGCCTTGGTCGTAGGCTCCGATGTCTGCATTTAGACTCAAGAATGGTCCTTTTTGCATCGAGGAAAGATTGGCTAGGTGAGCCAACTAAGCTCCTTCCAGAAGCGCAAAAGCCTCCCGAGGCTTACACAGGCTTCTAGGAGCGATTTTGTATCAGGCATGATACTTTCCTGTTGTGTGGTCACTCCCTCGCATTCCAGAATTCCGTGGGCGGTCCTTTCTCCTGCTTTCATACATCCTCTGCAAAGAGGGCTCTCCGTCTCATTAATGGTGAATAGTTGTCGGTTCAGGACTAGATGTCCTGTTATAGTTACTACTACTATTCGGATATCTGGTCTGCTAAGACTGATCAGCCTGCAAGTAAGTCGTGGTGAGATTTCACTCAGCACCAGTTTGGACTATCTGCAGACGGGTGAGTTTTTCTACCTCCGGTTGTGTCACGAGTGATGTGCCGGATATCCGTATCCGTATCCGCGGATATCCAAGGGAGAAGGGAGATCCGTAACCGTATCCGTAACTTTTTTGGCGGATCTTTCAATACATATTACATAGATGAAATTCTATATAGGTGATTTTGTATTCACTGTAAAACTCTTAGGTATGTGTTTGTAACACTATAAACAGCAACTTTTTTTCTGGCCAACGTCAAAATGAAAAAAAATTGGCCCTCCATTCAAATGACCAATCAAATGTTGTTAGTTTGTATGGAGAAACAATTTTTTTTCTTTCGTTTTCGGTGTTAGTCCAGAAGAAAAGTTGTTGTTTATTATGTTACTAATATGCACTTTAGAGGTTTTTAGTAAATTTAAATTTAACCCTGAATAATGGTTATCAGGTAGCTATGAAAAACTATTGAATTCTGTTCAGATTACTTATTATTTCTTAAAACAAATATTTGGCACCTTTGTATTGCAATCATTTATCGTACTTCACTAAATCAACTAAGCAGGTCGTAGGTACTGAAAGAGCTATCTTTATAATGAGATCAATCAAACATCTTTGTAATAGCTCATTAAAATAATGAAATATTTAAATATCAACAGCAAAGCGTCAAGTGGCGACAACTATCAAGGTCACGGGCTCCAATTGAGTAAGAATCTTAAGATCCGTATCCGCGGATCATGACACCAAATATCCGTATTCGGATCCGTATCCGCGGATGTACTTTTTTAACGATCCGGCACATCACTAGTCACGAGTACGTTGTCTAGCCCAGGATCGAAGTTGGTTGAAAGGCAGTGGCAGGAGTAAGGTTGGGACGGTGGCCAGAGTTGCCGACCCCCTCCTTGCCCGCTCATCTGCGGCGTCATTCCCGTGTGAAAAACTGTGCCCTTTAATCCATTGGAGAGATCCATTGTTGTGGCAAGCTGCTCCAATACTTGATGCCCTTCGAAGACTATACCAGAGGTCATTGTCTTGCCCTTCTGTGCCTTTAGGACGGCCATGCTGTCTAACAGTATTCGGATTTTTTTGTTATTGCCACACATTCGCATTGGACTACAGAACTGTGTTGGCCTAACGCTAGTGATATGTTCATGTTTAGGTTTTGTGAGAAAACTTCGGCTCCAGTTCCTGACCCAGTCTTGGAACCGTCCATGTAAATTTGGACTTAGTTTATGCCAGATTGATCTCGGTCATTTTCTTGTGTGTAAATGTGTTATCTCTTTGTGAAGATATGGTGTTTTGGGAACCTGTCCCATGGGGCTGCTATTAGTGGTTCGGATTCCACTAATTGATCCCATAATTTGAAGTACGATCCCTCACCTTTGTGTCACAGACCCAGGTGTCTCATTCTAATGATCGCCATGGCTGCCTCTTGTTGTCCATTTAATGGACAGGATTCAACCACTAGATAAAGGCGTGTTTGGTCCAATTAAAAAGCCTGAGATATTTTTTTTTGTTGAAAATGGAGTCAAACAAATGGGTGTAGGGTCTGGAAGATTATTGCAAGCTCAATTCAGTGAGTTATTAGGCAGATTTCATAGCCAGATAATAGACTTTATTATCTGGCTATGAAATCTGCAAATATTATATCAGGTTTCACTTCAACTAGACTTTATCTAGTTGAGCCATCCAAATTTCCGAAGCATCTCTTTTAACATCAAGACTTACAAGTGTACACAAATATTGTAAATGACAATAATATCCAACACCACTATCATGAATTCCATAATGAGACAGAACATATAGTTCCTACACAGCAAACAGAAGAAGAGATAGAACAACAATACCTTACTACTACTTAGGAACAAACTAACAAAATAGAAATACAAAATAACAAAAAAGAAACAACAAAAATTTACTAATACTTTGGAACATAACAGTAACACAATAACAGAAATGAAATACAAAGAAGCTACTAATACTTTATCAGAAAATAATAAATTTGAAATACAACAAGGAGTTACAAATACTTTGGCAGAAAATAACAGAAATGAAATAAATGGTAACAAAACTGATCAACAGCATACTGAATATGTTACACCACAATCTGATAAAACATGTGCAACTGTTTGTAGTTTAAACAACGGTGACAAAGTGCTGGAAGGAAATCAAAATGAAACATAAAGTAATATACCCTCCTGGCATAATGCGGTTGATATTGCAGAAATGGCGGATAATTAAGAACAACAAATTGAGGTGGGCCAGTCTGGTCAACAACATACACGAATTCATACTACTGGATTTAAAAATCAAGAAGTTGGCAAACTATCTGAGTCTATTTTACCAGGAACTTCTAAAAGCAGTGATGATGATGGCAAATAATAAAAATACATCTCCTTTAATCAACAAAATTCTAAAACTTCTAGATAACGTCTAGATACTGGAACTGCAGACCGTCAGTGCTTTTATTGCTTCCATAGTATCAGATGATGAAATAAAATCACCAAGTAAAGAGCAAATAGAGAAAATTTTTGGTATCAAGCCAGTAAAAAAAGTATTAGTACCTAGATTGAAACAGTGCGCTTATAGGGAAGTTCTAACAACAAGTGAAGTTGGAAAGGCTTAAAAAGGATGAGGATGTAAAACAAAAAAAGAAGACGAACTAAACAAACAAAGAAAACAATTGTGAAAGAAAATGGTAAAGGACGAAAAGAGAAGCTAGTTGAAATAGGAGAACCAAAAACTAAAAAACAAAGACTTATTTTTTTTTACAAAGAATATTTTTTCAGATGATGATGTAAGTGATGCTGTGGTAGAGTACAATGGAAGCGATAGTGATTATAATGTAGAAGATGAAAGTATTGTGGAATCTGATGAACTTAACAAAAATAGAAATCCAGAATGTGGAAATTTTGTTCTAGTCGCCTTTAAAGGTGAAAACAATGTACAAATTTGGTTGACTACAATATACAAATATGCAAACAATACAAATATGGTATGGGTACAAATATGGTATGGTCGATTAAATTGATGAAGAGAATTGGCGATACAAGTGACATCATTAAAATGTATGGACAGTTCCAAAATGTTGTTCAGTCTTAATGACAATGATAAAAGTGATGTGCCTTATGAAGATGTAATGATGAATGATGATGTAAAGATGTAATATAATGTGAGCCTTGAATTACAATGGCATTTTTTGTTTAATATGTTTATTAGTTTACGAGTTAGGTATTAAGTGTTATAACTCTAACTACTAAAGTCATAAGATAAGCAAATAAATATTTTGCATTGATATTATTATATTGCAGCTTATTTCCAATTTCCCCATAGGTTAATGCTTTGTTTCCATTTTCCCCGATATTTTTCTACTCCATAAGTATGAGTGAAAACAAATATTATACAATTATCCCCTTATCAAGTATATGGTTTGAATCTTACATATTATGATTAAAAGTTAAATTCCTGTTAAAATGTAGGGATAATTATAAATTATTGAGAATTAGAAAAAGAAACTGTGTTACATTCAAGGCCCTAGAAAATACTGTGTGCAGGGAACTTGTGTTTTTTTTATATTGAAAAATTTGAAAGTTCTTTGCCAAAACTACACCAGTCTTAGTGTTACTTCAGACAAAATCATCTGTGCATTACAAAGGCAATGTGATAATTTACTGGAATCAGTGTTTTATTTTATTTTACACCTTACCACCTAAGATAGCAAAAATACAGTACAAACAGATGTATACTTACCATAAGTCAATATTACATATTTACACAATTAATTTTTAAAAGATTTTTTGGTTTTGAAATAAATACATTTTAATAAGTAATTTTACCATATTTGGATACTACATTGTTTAAATATTAGGTCTTTACCTATGAAATTGCAACTTTTTAGTGGGTAATAATTCAATCCCCGAGAGGCAGTACACAATGCCTTTGAAGAGTTAGTTGCCTCCCGTTCAGCTGATTTTTACAAGAAGGGCATCAATAAACTGCCAATGCGTTGCCAAAGATGCGTCGCTTGCATGGGTGATTACTTTGAATAACAGAAATAAAAAAGTTTGAAAAAATAAGTACTTTCACTTATTGCATACAAAACGGCAATTTCATAGGTAAAGACCTATTATTATTATAACATTCAAGAAAAAAAAAATTACTTTTAGATTTTAAAAATGAGAATGAAGCATGAGATTTTTCGAGAAAATTGTAAAACTATTACTTGTTATTTTTACTGCATTTTAAAACAAACCCAATTTTTCACTTGTATACCAATTTTCATAATTACAAAAATATATATGTTCAATAAATGTCAGATCCGACACTATTCTACAACTATGTTGATTTACACCAACAACACTGCACCTGTTTTCATCCATTACCTATCACATCAACAGCATTTAATAGTAAACTGCTGGACATAGGCCTCTCCTTAAAAAGGAGGTTTAATTGTTTATTTATCCTAGCAATACATTGTTATTAAAGTTGCATGCCAATTGTGAAGAGCAATATGGTAGTTTTACAATTATCTTCTCATTTGAACATGTAATAGCTAACTTGGCGTTTTTTTGTAAACCTCAACTTTGATAAACAACCTAAATCCAAAAAAGTTATTTATATAGTTACCTTTTTTTTCTTTTTTTTTCGTGGCGGAATACCTCTCGGATATCACCTATCGGTGGCATGTCGGACTCGAACCGACTAAAACCGCACGCCGTCTCGGGTACTAATAGCCGGGGAACCAGGTATTCCCTAGAAAGGAAGTCCCTGGTGTCCCGACATACCTCGGGCCATCTACAGACGAGTAGACGACCCCCCCCCCACGTGTGGGAACCCCATGTTCCCTCTGCTCCCTGGAAGCGTGCTTCGCAACGCGCTCGCCGCCACCCCGGCCTGCTGCTGCTAGGGTGACAGATGGCCTCACCTGTCACCCTCAGGCCTGCGCTTATGGAGGTCAGAGGTCGTTTTGCGACCTCCGGCGCCTGCGGTACCTGGCCCGTTCCCGGGCCTGGCGGGCCGGGAGAGTTCTAAAACTCTCCCGGTCCCGCTCCACCGTCTCCTTCGCGAGCATAATGTGCTCGCAGAAGGAGACGGCAGAGTTCCACGCACTCTCGCCCGGCACGATAGCCGCAATCAGGCTATCGAGCGAGAGAACTCCCACTCCGATGGCCGCCACGAGGTCTCGCCTCTGCTCAACCCACGCCGGACACTCTGCCAGCGTGCGGAGAGCCGTGTCCACGGTCTGGCCATCGCAGTGGTGGCACTCAGGCGTTGGCTCCTTGCGGATCAGACACAGGTGATCCTCGAAACAACCTATCCCAGTGATCACCTGCGTCAGTCGGTATGAGAGGGTCCCGTGACGCCTCTCGAGCATATCCTCCATAACGGGTCTTCCCTCTATCCCCTATGATGACCCTGCGGAGTTGGGATTTCCGGTCATCGATTTCTCGAATCTCGGGACACCGACCCAACTCCCGCGCCTCCTTGCGCCACTGATACAGAGCCGCAAGGGCTCTCGCCTCCAGGTCCCACGGTGGAGTTCCGGCCAGGAGACTCGCCGCCTCAAAGGAGATCGTGCGGTACCCCCTTATGATCCTGAATACAAAGCTAACCTGGTTTTGTATCATAATAACATCGTAAACCTCTATTTTTAGAAATAACTTTTATACTCGTAATATATTATCCTAATACCAAGAATGTTATTAAATAGTATAGTTAGTTCTTTAGATAAAAACTGTTAAATCTTATTAACGCATATCGCTTCTATGGTAGATATATTCTATAGTTGCCAGCTTACGATAAAAAAAACTTAAGGTAAATACATAAATGTACTTTAAAAAGTGCACTTAAGTTAGTGTACTAATTCAAATTAATTTGGTACACTCTTCACAAGTAGCAAAAACAAGAGAATTATTGAATGTATGTTATATTTATTGAAGTTATGTTTGAAGTGTCAATTTTGGTCCATTTAGTGCAAATGAGCAGATAAGTCATCATAAGGTACCCAGTTACAATTGTGTTGTTGGCCTTTCATTATTAAATTATAGATGAAATACTGTTTGTCAATATGCATTCCTCTTGAGATTGCCAGGATCACATTGGATAATCTAATAAACTTTAAAATACTCATAATATTCCAATTAAATTTGTAGAGTAACTAACTGTGTCAACAAACAAAACAGGTCTAAATTAAATTTAGTGCACAGGTAGGTTGAATTTTAAATTATCTCTATTATGGTAAGTAAGAAATATGGAGCCTTCAGGATAAATTGAGTCAGTTATAATAAGACACAGATTGGGTGTGGGTCACCTTCCACAGTAAGAGTAGAGAGTACTCTAAATATTCTTCTAGTGAGGATTGTTATACAGTATCTTAGAGTTATACAAAAATCTAATGTTTTAAAAATTTATGTTTACATCCCAGTCACAAATTTGTTGAATGAAATTAAGATCGAATTTGAATCGAGATTCGAAGTCAAGATCACAACTTTATTAAAAATTGTTAAAATATCTAAAACAATTTATTTCAAAAAACTAGAAGATTTTTTGTCCTCTTGACTTTTATTAAAAAAAAAACCAAGACAATTGATATAATTCAATAGATAGATAGAATGCCTTGAGTAATTTGGGAGTGCATCCTTGTGGTGACGGATTTAAAGTACAGAGTGTCACCACCCCTATTCATCCCGTGGGTGTCGTAAACCCGACTAATGAAACAAACTACGCAGGACAACAGAACTGCAAAGAGAGGGAAAACTCGAAACAAACCCTATACCATCCATTCTGGCCAGTGTGCTATAGTAGGCCAAAACCTCCTTTCTAACCATATGTCCAGCAGTGGACTATTAAAGGCTATTGATGATGTTGAGTAAGTTGTGGTTGCAGAAAATTCAAAGCAGAACCCCATAGAACTGTAGGGCACTTTCACCTGTGGCTTCATCCATGAATTAACTAACAACTATAATATAATAACATAAAAGTATATAATAATAGATAAAAACTCTTGATTTGGAACGGCGACTGTCAAACATCTATCAAATTTTTCAAACCACTCGAAAAATATCAATGAGCGCCTATCTTGTATTTTCGGTCATAAAACTAACATAACCTTCTAAACAAAACAACTGCTACATCCTATTTTGACTGTTTTTATCAATTAGCAAATAAACAGCGTACCTACGGTAAATAGCTTAATAATATAAAATAGCGATTGAACATTCAGACAATGTAACGCCATTAGGGCCTAAAAGAAGCAACAAATAATATCATATTTACTTCAAGGTTATACTTACTGCTCCATTCGCTTATTGCGTGTTACTTCATCTATATTGTATGTTTACAGATCATCAAAATATTATTCTCATTACACTGCACATGTACCAAAATAAGAAGTCAATTCTAACTTTAATCAACGAAATAATATACGTTATGACAATCGGATTTATTAACCAACTATAATTACTTAATATAATGTTTGACATTAGCAGAAGCTTATTGTAAATCAAAATATATGTAGCAGCCATTTCATGATTACATACTGTTTGTTTACATATATTATAAAATTCACCTCGAATTGCCAATGAGCAGCTTGTAATAACTGTTTCGCTTGTTCTTGAGCACATCCTGCTGCTAACACAAATTGATTTATCATGACTTGTTCACGTAAAGTTGAATCCATTGTAACAAAATTCAACAAAATATAAAAAGAAGTCCTCCGACTGTCTAAGGAATAACAAGCTATGAAAATGTAATGTCAAATTGTCAAGAATGCGTATCACCCGTATCAGATATATTGCTTAGCGCTAGTGGACCGGGATATTGAATGAGTGTAAAAGAGAGATCCGATAACTTTACGTAACAGTCACCGATGCAGATCTTTGACCGAGCGACCGAAACATTATTTTATCTTTATTTCCTTATTTTCTATTTGTATTGCCAGAATAAAATCAGAACTAGCTTACTAATTAAGTGATGAATTTTCAACATTGATTACATTTAGAGCCGGTTTTCAATCCTTAGTTATACTGTCAGACAAGTAACTTGGGAATAAATTTATCTCGCTGTTTATCAAGCGAATAAACTTTTCATGTTTTTCAATTGGGTGTAAAGTGTAAACCGTCAGATAGTCACTGTAAACATACGCAATAGAGATGGCTAGATAAGGATCACAAGCTATTAGACAACATTTTTGTCATTCTTTTCTTGACATTGCTTGTCTGTCAGACAATAAGACAACCTTATTGTCGGTGGTAGTGATGGTGTAGTGTTTTGTGTAACGGACTCCTACTCAAAAGGTAGCGGGTTCGATTCCCACTCCATTCAAACATTTATGTACGTATAATCGACTGCATGGATGGCGTAGTGGTTTAAGCGGTCGCCACGATACTTCCTACTGCACTGAGTGTTCTGGGTTCGATCTCCACATGGGACACCACTTTGTGTGATCCACAAATTGTTGTTCTGAGTGTGGGTGTTTTTGTGTCCGTTCCATATATTTTTGTAGGTATATATTCCTAATGCGGGAACTGTCATTTATAAAAAAAAAAACAAAAAAAAAAGAAATCTAATATGTATTTACAAAAAAATATATATGAAATAGTAAATATTTTTATATCAGTTGTCTAGTTCCCATAATACAAGCTCTGAGCTCTTAGCCTGGGACTTGACGGCGTTGTGTGAATGTGGTTTAGAGAAATGGCATTTGCTAATAACTTGTAATAAAATTGTTCATAGTCACACAAAGTATTGTCATATCTTTCTCTAAAACCCCTTTGTTTTCTCTCAGGACACAGCAAAATTCAAATTCTCAATAAGGGCAATGTATATAAACTTTACTACAACAAATAAAATCACTAATCAACAGATAATATCACTAACTGAAGCGTGAAACGACAGATAAAGTTATGGCTCAGATTAAGCTTAGGATATTAATTTAAGTAGTATTGCTTACAGTAACTGTATAGTTCAAGAGAAGTTGAATGAAAGGAGTAGTTATGGTTTTTTATCCTTGAAAAATTCCAGTAGCAATGAATTAAGTATTTTTGGATAGACTTCTTAAGAACTAATATTATAATTTATATAAATATATTTTTTAATAACTGCAACTTTGAGTAAACATAATTTTTACCTTGGCAAATTTTTAGGCTGAAGACGAACAAAACTTCTGTACCTTTGTACCAATGCCCAACAAAAAATAAAAATTACAAGTTTGACAATAAAATTGTATCTGATGCGAGTCGCGTGTGACAGATGAATGATGGTTACGTTTATGTACTTGTTGACATTTTAAGCTATTGCATAGCTTCTATCGCGGGCCTTGAGCGTGGAGACCGAATCCAGAAATTCCGTAACGAAAATAACCTAACACCCGCCACTTCGACCGGCACAGCGGTGATACTTTTTAGTTTTGCCATCTATCGATGAATAGTAGAACTTTTAATGACTTTTTTGAAATATCACGCTTGTCTCTTTAGTTCAGCAACTCGCCTCTAGGTGGCATTGGTTGTGACGCGGTATTTCCAAATATTTAGAAGATATCAGGTCTCAAACTTATGTTTCTTATTTCAACTACCATAAGCCTATAGTTTCAATGATAAATATTCATGAATAACCTACATGTATTGTAAGATAATAAAAATATTTTGAACGATATTAACTTCTCATTTATTTAATAAAAGAAAAAAAAATGTTTTCTTATCGGTCACCACGCTCAAAAAGTGTAACTTGAATTAATATCAAAGAAAAAAAACAAAAGGAAAAAAATACTGCATAAATAAAATAAATAAATAATTATAATTGCATAAGTTGATAAAAAATGCTATGCAATAGCTTTACGGAAGATGTTAAGAAGAATTGTAAGATTTATATCAGTGTAATTAATTAGAGCTATTTTAAATATATATAAATAAAATATGTTAAGAGAAGTAGTAGAAGAAAAGATTCTATGAAATTAGTTAACATTGATTTATCTATAACAATTATTTTGCTATTATCGGTTATTCTATTTTCATGGTATCACTAACTTGTTGGCAATCCCTACGAGCACACTCAATTTTTTCTGAATGAATGAAATGAATCTCGTTCTGTCCACTGTCCAGTGCTGCCAACCTAGTCGATTTTCCACTAAAACTGGTGGTTTTAACCCCGTTTTTAGTGGCTAGTGGATTTTTTTTGTGGTTAGTAGTCATAGTAAGATTGTAGAAGGCTTAGGAAATGCTGTTGAAAGATAAACTGTGAGAACTGTTTGTGCAAGCAAACCTCAAGAACTTTTGATAGGAAAGGAAGGGTATGGATTGGATGGAAGTGCTTAGGAAGAGAAGTATTATTAATGGGCTTTGTGCCAGAGAGATGTAAAGTTTTCGGATTCAAGAAAGAAGTCAATAATGTAGGCAATAACTTCAAGGATGCAATCCAGGATGGTAACTACTATTCTACGATTGAAAGTCATTGCATTACAACACACACAGCATGATTATTTTGATGTCCCCTGAAGGCGCAGTTGAAAATTCAAAGTTGACAATATGGATCTGGGCAGACTAGCGATATAATTCAGGGTCTGACTCTATGTTTAATGAACCGGTAGAGTAGCAGAAGGGAAATGAATATTGATATTGTTGCTCCATAAGATCGATTGTTCGAGAGTTGTATGGAATGTGGATCTATCTAGTATCAAGTATCGCCATCTAGTATCAAGTGAAGTACAACTATTGAGATTGTGACTAATAATTCTGATACTTACAATGCAACTGATACTGGAATATTTCATCTGATCTATGGGATTAGTCTAATAATTTCGATAGCGCTATCAAGCGGAGCGTGTTGGTCGTACGGGACAGTATCGTTTTACGACACAGTGAATTAACATCAAATCAAATTTGTAGTGCGACTAACAAGTATTATAGTGATTTCTTGTTTGTAGTAGTGAGTGTTTGTAAATACAGTGTAATAAAAGTAATTAACTGACAACTTCTCGTAACAATATCATTCAAACCAATGAAACTCGGTCCGTTGTTGTCTATCAATGCCAACGTGTTATGGAAGTTCCGCATACTAGAGGTATTGCTCTTCAAAGATGCCCAAGTGGGCCACGGAACTTCGACATTTGAAGGATTGGCGACCTTTGGTATTACTCTCTACTCTTAATACTGCCTCGTTTTGATGCCGATTTTAAGTTGAGACACGATAGGTTTAACAGAGGAATAGAATGAAGTTAAATGAAGTTGGAAGGAGAACGCTGCAGCTAATATGAAAGTCCAATAAACGTTGTAATACAAATCGCTACCAAAGAATCCTATTAAGCTGGCACCGACGATGACAGTGCTAACAAAAAAGATTTTCGATTTTTCTTTCGTAATTAATAAAAATATGTCTAGTGCAAAATTTAGTGGCTATTAGAGTAGGGTCGTTTTCATTAGTGGTTTTCTGATGGTTTTGATGTTGAATCTGGTGGAGAGTTCACTTAACTGTTGGCAGCACTGCCGCTGTCGCTATTTGGCTTTCGCCTGTTTGTGCTGTTTTGCGGATAGAGTATTGATTTTCACGTAATTATTTAGATAATGGAACCAAATCCTGTTATTATTGCTGCTACAGCTAAACAGACGGCTTCAGTAAGTGTATAAAATTATTTAAAATTGAAATATAAATAATTCAAAACTTATAGGACTTAGATAATTAATATTTCATCGGTGTACTTTACAGCTTATATTCCTTCATGGACTCGGCGACACTGGGTGAGTTTATCTTATACCGTTGTTTGTAACTGCTGTAAGACAATTTTGTAATTATACACGTTTTCATCTTCATTATTTATTAATAATTCATTTCAGTCATGGTTGGGCTAGCACTATCGCAGCTATCCGCGGGCCTCACGTCAAAGTAATTTGCCCTACTGCAGCCACAATCCCAGTTACACTCAACGCAGGATTTCGTATGCCGTCGTGGTTTGATCTAAGAACCCTTGATGCCACTGCTCCTGAAGATGAAGAGGGCATTATGAGGGCTACTGAACTAATTCATGGGCTTATCTCAGATGAAATTAAAGTAAGTGTACAATATTATCTTGTGATAACAGTAGGAATATTAAAACTAATCAGAATCTTATAGCAAAGTATTCTTTTTATATAAAAGAAACAGCTTGCCTTATGTAATTTTTATTGTTACTTTAAAGCTAAAAGCAAATATAGAAAGCTATAGTTAAAATACTAGAAGAAAATATTGTAAGAAGTGTCAATTTTATACAAAAAGAAAATTAAGTAATATAAAAATATTTTATTAAACATCACTTTATCAGCCTTACACAAATGTGATCAAAGAGATAAGGTTTAGAATCATTTCCTTGACAAAACATAGAAATACAGTTGAAAATAATGTGTAGTAGTTAAGTTTATATTTAGCACCAGCCTTTGCTTCCCGTAGAGTGAGATTGTATTTCAGTACCCTATTCTTAGAAAACTCACACAAATTCTATTCCCGAAAATGGTAAAAATAAATCATCAACTTTTATATTTGACAAGCTATCACCTATTCTTACGCTTGAGTGATTATTTATTATATTTACTTTGAAAATGACGACCTTCCATACATTATCATCATCATTCATTTAACTGTTCACCCCTTATTCTACCCACTTACCGGTAAAATTTATAAACATCCTTTCTTAGTTGGTGCTTAAAACATAAAAAACATCAGCTGCCAAAAGGGTCTAGCAGGATAAGGTAGGTTCAGCTGCCCCAGAAAGGTATTTTGAAACTAACTCATTAGGCAACATCGGCGAGGTGTAAAACCACTATTAACTGAAATTCAGCCTGGTATGTCTCTGCATTCTGGAGATAATTGATCAAAAAGACGCTAGAGCGGGTATTTTTTAAAATTATTTTTTTCGAAAACTATTACAGCTGCACTAATGAAACAAAAACTGGTCGTTAGACAAAATATTAGTCTACATTATATATTTTTATAGAATTTTTCAGTTGTATTTAATATAAAAAAAAAAACTAGATTTTATTCATAATTCACGCAGAGGTACAATCACAGAAAAAATATATAATGTAGCTTACTATGTCTAGTATTGGTACCAAAAAGTGCATAAAAAAAAAATGGGTGCAACACTTCCAAAAAAAATTAAAACTTCTTATGACCGTCTTAAGTAGGTACTAATGAATTCATATTTGTCTTTTGATGAAACTTTTTCATTATTCTAGACACGATAATGACATGTTTATTACTTAAAAACATATTTGATAGTAGTTAAAAATATAGGTATAACGTTGATTTCGACATAAAAGGATGAAAATAGTTGGTTGAACTACAACATTTATAAAGAACAAGATGAAACTTGTCACTCTCAAGTTAGTTGCGGGTATGCATTGTGTTATGTTTTGTTCACCTATTATTGTTCTATCCCGATCATTATAGTGGCTCGACGTCAATAATCGTGTGCGGAATATTGTTTCGGACTATTTTAAATTTTTCTTATAGAAAACCTTTTTTTATCGTGTCTTAGTGAGTAGCAGTAGTAGTTACACGAAATATGTCAGATAAATGTAAAAACTAATCACTCGCGGTAGGCTTTAAAGTTGAGTCTGCCTGTTTGTAGAAACTTAGACTGCATTTGTTGCATATTACGTCACTTACCAGGATATTAGTTTTGAAACAATCACTATATTTTAGCTTAATTTTCAGTTTCCATAATTTTTCTATACTTGTTATCTTTGCGCAAAAATTTACTACAGTTTTTAAGTAATAAACATGTTATTATCGTGTCAAGAATAATGAAAAAGTTTAATCAAAAGACAAATATGAATTCATTAGTACCTACCTAAGACGGTCATAAGGAGTTTTAATTTTTGTTGGAATTGTTGCACCCATTTTTTATTTATGCACATTTTGGTACTAATACTAGACATAGTAAACTACACTCGGTTCCAAAAATTACGGGTCAGTCACAAAAATTGAAATACCTCCAGAACTGTAAAAGTTAGATCAATGAAATAAAAAACAGAATAAAGACTTTTTAGTTGCGCTTCTAATAGCATATTATTTAAACTGGTTGATGAAAAAAACTTCATTAGAAAAACAAAATTTTTGTTTCATTTCATTATAGATGCTTGCCATTTCTATTCTGTCACAAAAAACGTCTTCCACATGCATAATTATTATTCTGTGAGGTGAAGCATGGCAGTCACGCTACAGGAATGTACCAGAATCCTAACTTTTTTGGAACTTGGGCGGAGCCAGCGTGAAACAGCCAGAAACATTGGTGTATCTTTGTCGACTGTTCAGCGGGTAGTCCAGCGGTACCAAGAGACCGGATCACACCTTAGAAGACCAGGAAATGGCAGACCAAGATGCACAACGGCCAGGGAAGACAGACAACTGGTGGCTACAATGCTCCGAAATCGTTTTCAAACTGCTGTTGGTCTAAAAACTCACTTTATTCGCTTTGGAGGTGGCAATTTAAGCGCTCAAACAGTAAGAAGACGTCTTGCTGAAGCAAATTTAAAACCATTGAGGCCCGCAAATGGCCCCAAACTGGAACGGGGGACATCGAATTGCAAGACAGAGATACGTGCGCGAGCACCTAAACTGGACACTAGACGATTGGTCTAGGGTAATGTTCACGGACGAGTCTAAATTCATGCTTTATAAGCAGTTGGTGTACAGAAGACCAGGGGAGCGCTTCCATCAAGCGTGTGTGGAGGAAAAAGTGGCGTACGGTGGAGGCTCCGTACAAGTTTGGACTGGGATTTCTACTGAGGTCCGCACCGAGCTGGTACTCATTCAAAATGGAACTCTAAATGCAGAGAGGTACGTGGAAGAGATCCTCAATGAACATGTAGGTCCTTTCATGGCCAGGATGGACCGGCATGGCATATTAATGCATGTTACTGCGCGTCCCCATACCGCCAGAATTGTACGTGACTACCTTGAAGAGGTCGGTATCGAACTCATGCAGTGGCCAGCCCGGACTTAAACCCCATCGAGCACGCCTGGGACGAGCTTCAGAGATGCGTGAAAGGTCGAAACCCCCCACCAATCACGCTTCCCGAGCTCAAACAAGCACTGGTGGAGGAATGGGAAGGTATTCCTCAGCACCGGCTCCGAAATTTGGTGTACAGCATGCCTAATCGCCTGGAAGCTGTCAGAAGAGCTCGTGGAGGCAATACAAAGTATTAAATGAAGAAAGTGATGAAAAACAGCAAAAAAACCATCATAAAAAAATTTAATCTTAAGAAAAATATGACTACTTTAGTTTTTTTTTTTATTTAGAGATAAGTTAAGAGTTAGAGAGTTTAGATTTAAGTTTTATTTTATTTTTTATCTGTATAATTAAATTCTCAATTGAACAGTCTTCGTTTCATTAGGATGGCATACGTAGTTCGGGACATATTCGGGTTTATGTGACTGACCCGTTATTTTTGGAACCGAGTTTACATTATTTATTTTTTCTGTGATTGTACCTCTGCGTGAATTATGAATAAAATCTAGATTTTGTTTTTTTTTTTATAGTAAATACAACTGAAAAATTCTATAAAAAATATATAATGTAGACTAATATTTTATCTAACGACCAGTTTTTATTCCATTAGTGCAGCTGTAATAGTTTTCGAAAAAAATAGTTTTGAAAAATACAAGCTCTAACGTGATCAATGATCAATTATCTCCAGAACGCAGAGACATAACAGGCTGAATTGACTGCACGGATGGCGTAGTGGTTGAAGCGGTCGCCACGCCGCTTCCTACTACGTCGAGTGTTGTGGGTTCAAACCCCACATGGGACGACACTTTGTGTGATCCACAAATTGTTGTTCTGAGTCTGGGTGTTCTTTGTGTCCGTTTCTTGTATGTTTGTAAAAGTCCCTCGCGACACAGGATTTATTCCTAATGCGGGAGTTGTCTTTTTTAAAAAAAAAAAAAAAACAGTTAATAGTGGTTTTAAACCTCGCCGATGTTGCCGTTGTTGTTGATGAGTTAGTTTCAAATTATCTTTCTGGGGCCGCTGACCTTACCTTATCCTGCTAGACCCTTTCAAGTTTGTAGCCCCAGTGGTTTAGGCTCTGCACTGTTGAATCAATCAGTCAGGGTAAGTAATTTTATATTAACAAACACTTGGATAAGCAAATACAGGACAAATTTTGACAACCACCTGAAACCTAGTGAGACTGTTCTCCCGTCGGGCCGTCTTCCCATAGGAACTGTCTATATTTTATTAGAAATAAATGAAATCAAGTTTCTAAGCCAACACAATCAAATTAATTAAGTTTAGGTTCACTAGGACTTTTAATTTGTAAGTTTTTAAATAATCACATTAGAGGATTTTATCTGCCAGACTAAAAAAAGGTTTTGCATTATGATTTGCAAGAATAAAATCTGTGCTTTGGATATTGTCAGATGGCCTCTCCATACTTAAAAATTACAAGGTTTTTATTTAATTTACCGTAAATAAGAAGGATTTTTTAAAATGCAGGCATGTTTCTCAAAGATTCTTAAAAACTCTTTCTACTTAAACAATACATTTTCATACATTTTTATATTTCAAACATCCTCCATATATACACCAACATCTCTAATGATGTCATCTAGTGATGAATAGATCTAACTAAATTTTAAAAACCACTAAGAATTTTTTTTTAGAACTATTTTAATAAATTAAGTATAAAATTACTCACAAATGAAATGTAATGCCATCCATAGCAACAAAACATCTATCCGAATAATTTAAACACGATGAAATACAAAATTTCATCCTTTTCTTCCTCATCATCATCATCATCAGCCTATCGCAGTCCACTGCTGGACATAGGCCTCTCCCATTGCACTTTTCTTCCTAATACCACGAAAATATACCGATTTGCGATTTTGCGACACAAGGGCACAGTACAGACGCTGAGTGTACTAACTTTAAGCCACACCCACTGTGATGACGTCAGGACCTAGTTAGAATCACAGTACACAGTTGCTTAGGCCCTCTCCGCTTTGTTTTTGCTACGTAATGTCAATACTTGCTCTCAGTAAAATAAGGAATTAGGATCATTGACGGACTGTTTAGATTTTTCTCAAGGTGTAAATATAAGTTTGAAAAATATGGAATTTATATTGTATTCACAAACCATTATATATTTTATTTCCAGGCAGGCATTCCTTCAAACAACATACTGTTGGGTGGATTTTCTCAAGGAGGTGCTCTGGCATTGCATGCTAGTTTGACATATCCACAACGTCTTGCTGGCGTGATGTCATTGTCTTGTTGGTTACCAAGGCATGCTCACTTCCCTGAAGCAGTGAAGGCGCCTTCAGATTTAGCGGTAAGTATACCCTGGTTTCACATCATAAATAATTTTAAAACTTCCAGTGAGGAAATTGCGAATACGGGGTGCTAAACACGCGCATAAGCGGGCAATCGGCTGTATTTGTCGAACAACAAGGCCGACCTGAAGCAATTACTGCACTTGTTCGGTTTCAATCGCCTTGTGCTGATCGGATTGTTCATTCGGGTTTCGGGTTCGGTTTTTATTTGGGCGTAGCGCCTCTCTCTCTCCCCTCGTCCCACATTCTTAGCTCTATTGAACTAAAACATTGAAAAGGCCTTAGAAGTAAAATACATTAAAATTTTCAACATGTCTAATAATGTCAATGTAATTTTAAAGAGTGGTCGTGAATTTGTTTACTGAATTTCGTAACACAAGGTTCAATCATTTGGAAACACGAGATTATAGATCGACAGAAGCAAGAGCAAACAGTATTATCTTTTTTCCAAGATTTTTTAATTTTGGAAAAACAACCGGATATTGTAATAACTTATCTATCGATCTATCTTTTTTATTATAAAAATAATAACGACGAACGATTTCGAATAATTGGTAATCAATTTTATGAAATGTTTATCTTGGGGAGCCCATGATGCTAAATGTGGCTTTACTCGAGCGTCATGGGGACCTATTGCATTTGAAAGATTAGGTAATAGAATGAAGAAAAGTTATAAAACGTATGCACTTTCAGCGGTGGGAAAAGCTTCTACAGGAAAATAGAAAATCGAAAAAAATACTCAGGCGCATCAGATATTTTGGAGATATGTTATCTGGACGCTAAAAATCCCATTGAAAGGTCTGGCGATCTTAAAGTGACACAAGCTTGTAGCGAATTATCAAAAATGCAAACTGCAAATTCTATAAAACGCCATTTCGAAATACTTGAGCGTGTTAGATTTTATACAGACGGTTCAGCTTGATGTTCCTCTCATACTAGCCAAAAATCTGACGATGATTTTCGACACGAAAAATTATGTACACAATTAAAGAAGATTTCTTGCATTGTTTGCTTTGAAAAAAAATCAAGGTCATGCATCCCACTGCATTATGTCACTCTCAAATAGTCAGATTTATTAAATACACACTAATGTTTATGTAATCGATTCAACTTACCTTAATTTTACACGCTCGAGTATTTCTGGCCATTGTTTTTTTTTTTAATAATCTGACGGGCTGCCCTAGACGCTCCTCCCTATATGTATGGCTCATGTATGGTGGAGGTACTCAACTGGGTGTAACGTATTCCTCCTATCTTAATCTGACACGCTCGAGTAAATCCCGAAATCCCGTAATCCCGTCTAGGTCCCCCTACTTAGGGCATACTGAAAGGAAAAAGGACGCTTTTCGCGAACTTTTTCTAAGACTTGCCCAGAAGCAAGTGTACGTACCAATCTGCAGTCACTGTCCTTTGATCTTCAAGTGATACTATAGTGTTTTTTACCAATGCTTCGACTTTTCTAAACTTTTGTCGTCAAATCTTCAAAACAAAATCCGTTCGGATTAGAAGCAAGCAGTAGGTCCGTAAGCAGAAGGTCGCAGGCGTTGATACCAGTTGTTAGAAGCAATAGGTCAGTACGAAATCGTGAACAGATCTCCTGCGTTGATCGGTTTTCTCGTGAACCAAGCCATTCGGCGTTGTGAACGTTAAAGTCGCCAAGTATTAACGAACTCTGCAGATGGGATCTGCTGCAGCATAGGATCTGTAGCCATTTGGACGTGGTCCATCAGTCGCTCAGTTTTAGTATAGCCGCTATTGGACCAGTAGAGGCATGCATAGACACGGAGATAGTCGTCGCTTTCTACACGGAGCCACAAGATGGAAAGGTCCCGTTCTCCAAGATTGCCGAAGCGGCGGCAACTGGTACTGCGGCAACTCATCTCAAACGTACAGTCACACTCCAGCCCTAGCAAAAAAGGAGTGTTCCAGAATATAGAAAGGGTAGGAGAGGTAGGATGTGTCCGATAGAGATGACTGCGTCTCGGTTAAAAACAGCAAGGCCGGCTTCGCTGTCTCGGTATTGGTGGACAGCGTTGAGGTTAGAGTGTAGACCCCTGATTTTGCAGAAGTCCACGACAAGCGTGATGAGTACTCCCTAAACCTATACCTGAGTCGTAACTCCCAGGCACTGTCGAAGTCGCATTGGCCCCGTCTATCACGCGATCGGCCCGGCACCCGCACGGTGAATCGATGGAACGCTAAGAAATAGGTCTGCCAATTAAAATATATTATTACTCGGTAAATGGTAATATTGTAGTAGCGACTGCTATGAAGAGATCTCGGGTTTGATTCCTAAGGCTGACCAAATGTTTGTACGATTGTAAACGTTTATTTTAATAATTAAGTTTTTTTTTGTATTTTTTAATTTTAGAACATAAATATCAATATGTGGTAAACGATGCTAACTGAACTTGCAATATTTGGTCATAATCGCGTCTACTGAAATTTTGTGTTATTACATTTGCTTTAGAATATGTTTTACATTAAAATATTAGAATAAACGTAATATACTCGTACATAGGTATACAGGTGGAATGTTATGTTACCATGTTCGATGCTTTGTTAATGGTTTTCAGAGGTACTGTGACACCCGCTCATTGCACTTACTGACATTTTGTTTTAAAATTACGAGAGTTGTTAGCATTGCAACTTGACCTTTAGTTCGGTTCGGTTACTGAGCCCAAAATGGCTAGGTTTTACTTGCCTAACTTATCTTTGGTGCTCTCGGTTTCTACGCGTTATTATTCTAATGTCGGAACTATTAGCTTAATCTTTCAATTCATATGAGATCATATCAGAGCCGCCCGCGTGGTTAAAGTCATGTAAAAAGTTGTGTGACGTTAGCTGAATTTTTTTTTACTAAAAATAAATAAAAAATATTTTCTAATATTTGCTTTGTTTCAGATATTCCAAGCTCATGGTGACTGTGATCCAGTTGTTCCCTTTAAGTGGGGTCAAATGACAGCCTCATTTCTAAAAACCTTTATGAATAATGTAGAGTTTACAACATACCAAGGACTGACACATAGTTCCTCCGAGGCAGAACTAAAAGACATGCGAGCATTCATAGAAAAGACGTTGGGCGCTAAAAAGTAAATAACTGCTAAGCAGCGAAACCACTTTAAAAGTACAGATTATAAATACCGTATTTTTGTCCTAAAACTTGTTACACCAATGTTAGGTAATCTTGACTATCTGCTGTTTGGCTTTTCCGTTTCAAGCTTATTTGGTTTAATGGTAATTATTTATAAAGTTTTGTTATGTAAGACCAGCATTTATTGTTAAGGCATCTCCCTTTGTCTGGTATTTGGCTAGTGTGCTTTAAGATTATCATAATCTTATAAAGATATTTATATAATTTAAAACACTTAGAATTCGATATTTTAGAATTCATTCACTACATCTGTGCCTGCTTAGAAACAATAATGCCTTATGCTGTCCATAACTTAAAAAAAAAAGAATCCTAATACTGCGTGTGGATGTCTCACAATAATACGTTAGTAAAAATAATAAAATCCCATAAATTGGCCTAATTATCGTTTGCATAATATCGAATATGGGTCTAAGCAATAATGAAATAAAAGACAGCGCTGGTAGTGGTGATAAAGTAACAGGCCAATTCAGAATGTGATAGCATCTCTCTGGCGATCATGGCGAGTTTTCAAGAAGCGTATAATTTTGTTTTTTTCTACCATTATCTACACATGTGGTAAGTGATACTCTTTTAATATATGGTTTCAGGGTTTTGCAGGATTGTTCAGGTCAAGTTAAGGATCTAATTTTAGTTCCTTTTGGGAATTGACATTAATTAAAAAAAAAAATCGGTAAAAGTTGGGTACAAAAATGTTTTGGGTTATTTTAAGTTTAAAATTGGACAATATAAAATATATTTTAAATTTTGTTTAGTTTCCCTAAAGTTTCAAGAAACATTCAGATGTTCTATAAAGACAAATTATTTGAATGACAAATTTATGAATTCTCTCCTTTTTACGTATAACTTGTAGATAATTAATATAAATAGATCAAGTAATTGTGCGTCCTCGCATTAATGAAAGCAACCTTTAAAGGCAAATTCAATAGATATTCCTGCACACAATGTTCAAAATTTACACAATCTGTTATTTCATTTTATAAAAATTGACTGTCATTGGTCCAAAGATTTATTTATTATTATTACACTTAATGCTTTGTTTCCCTTTGGACATTCTCTCATTTTGTGACCCCTCTCGTCCTCTCACATTTTGTCTAAAAGATTTATTGTAAGGTAATATTTACCCGTCCAAAATTTAAAGCATGATTCGAATCAACTCGATTCCTTAAACTCTGACTTCATTCCATATTAAAAGTTTACCAAATAAATGATTGACTTAACAAAAAAAAAACCATATCTACTTATACTCAATTACTTAAACACTAGGAAATAAATTACAATTACTATATACGTCGCATCGTATCATAATTGTCAAAGAGTAGATGTTTGATTTATTTTGTTACCTAATTATTTTATCTACTTTATTACTATGTTATTTAAGATTAATGTCTAGTTATAAACAAATCCAGTAAACTACATGTGTTTCATTCTAATTCCAAAATCCTTTAACGCTATTACACCTTCAGGAAGAGGGAAGGATGTCAACAATCAAGAAGATTCGACAACGTGTGACAATGGGGCTAAAATGGTACGCAAAACAGATTTAAAAAAAAGCATTAATTTTTTTTATCGGCGAACTTTCCAGGTAAAGATACCGACGTCTTCTTAATAACTACATTCGATTTATGTTGAATACTGGTGTCTTGGGTTGACCAATTGAAACACAGATGCTTCAAGCATTTAGTTGTATTATGGTAATAGCGAAATTACATTATTCGAAATGTATATATGTAATACATAATGTAAGACGTGTATATAGAAAAAATAAGTCGTCGAATGTCGGCGTATAGCGGTAAGGTCGGATCGATTTAAACGCCTCCCGCCGCACCGCCCTTAAGACAAGGCGTGAACATCCTGGGGGCCCTTGAAGACGGAAGTCTTCAACGGTTCTGTAGGCTCGTCCAATAAGAGGCAGAGGTATTTCACTCCTAGTCTATAGGTGCCAGTGGTAGTAGTAACGTCAGCCGTAATCAACATAAATCCCGTCTGGTCCAGGACAGTCTTGTAATTCGGGCAAGGTGCCAATGCAGAGGGGGGCGTTGTCCTCCTTAAGAAGCACCAGTTTACCCAGCTGAATAGGGCGGTCTGGTATGCGCCACTTGGTTCGCTGTTGGAGCTCAGCGATGTATTCTAGTTGTCAGCGTTTCCAAAAATGTTGACGTATAGCTTTAAATCTCTGATAACGATCTAGTCTGGTCTCGTTAAGACCCTCCATGGAAGGGCGATGGCAAAGAAGTCAAGGCACGGTCGATGAGGAAGTGACCTGGAGTTAAGGGTTGGAAATCGTTTGGGGACGAAGAAATAGGACATAAAGGACGACTGCTAAGGATGGCTGCTTTTTGATTGAATAAAGTTGCCAATTCCTCGTATGTTAGGTGGCACGCCGAGGCACAGATATCCTCCGGTATTAATGATTTTCATACGTGTCCAGTAGTAATAATGTCCAGTCACTGGCAGTATTTATAATTGAGAACAATTCATCTGTAAAAGATGAAATAATTTAAAATAAGTAACTGTTGTTTTTGAATATTTTTTTATACTCCTGATCCTGACTTGTTGATTTACTATTTGTATGTCAATTCATCGATTGTTAGTATTACGTAATTATTATTAACACACTTATTATTCTTCTTATTACTTCTTTCATAATAACTAACCAAAGGGTTAGCGGAAAGCGACTATTAGAGTTCGGCCATTTTTCGTTAGTGGTTTTCTAGTGGTTTTAAATGTTGAATCTGGTGGAGAGTTACTTTAACTGTTGGTGTTGAAGTTATAGGATCTTTTATAATAGAAAATACACATGGAACTTTTCAATAATCTAATAATGTCAAAGTATTTTTTACAGAGTGTCAGAAACAAAAAAACCTAGTAACCTGACAATAGAAGAATAGGCCACACTCTCAAAGAGGAACTTTACAAAGAACCATAGAGTTGCTATTTAAACATCTTCTCTCTTTATCAAGTTCAGCCAGTGTTTTCTCTTCCACTGAGCATTCCAATTTTTCCGCACAGCATTGTCAGCCTGGGCCTGAACAGCGGCTTGGTCATCATGTCAGCCAACTGCATCTCTGACGAAACTTTCTCCACTTTCAGCACACCGTCCGTTACAGCTTCCCTTATGAAGAAGTGACGAATCCTGATGTGTTTTGTTCGGCTATGAAACTCGTAAGGCGGGTTTCTAGCTAACTTAATTGCAGACTCGTTATCTACATACAGCACGGGTATATCATCTGTGTGTTGAATACTAGCCATCAAAACTTTCAGCCACATTATTTCCCGAACTGTCTCACTCGCAGCAACAACTTCTGCCTCGGTACTTGATATAGCAACAGGCGCCTGTCTGTGGCTTTTCCAGGCAATTATCCCTCCAGCGTACATGCAAACCATTCCTGATGTGGACCTGCCTGTTTCTAAGTCCCCACCGTGGTCTGAATCACTGAAACACATTAGTTTTTTATCAGAGTTTCTTCTGTAAGTCAATCCCCAGTTCATAGTTCTTTCAAATACCTCAGGATTCTTTTCACTTTAGTAACATCTTGATTCGATGGGTTATCTAACTTTCTAGAAGCAACTCCAACAGCATAGGCAATGTCGGGCCTGGTTCCGACCATGAGATAAGCCAGAGCACCTACTGCTTGTCTGTATGGAAAATTAGATATTCTTTTAATCTCTTCTGTTTCCGTAATCGTATCTTTGATAATTGGTGTTCCAACCGGCTTACACTCATCCATCCCAAATCGCTCCAATATTTTCTTTGTGTAGGCAGTCTGATTCAACTCAATCGATCCATCTACTCTTCTTGTTATCTCTAAACCAAGGTAGTAATTTGCAGGCTTCGATTTAATCTTGAACCTTTCTTTCAGCTCACACAAGAACTTTTCTAATTCTTGTTTATGAGTGGATGCAAGCAGACCATCATCCACGTAAAGAGCCAGTATCAGCTTCTTCTCTTCTCTCTTCCTTACGAACTTCTGATTTCTCTCTCAGAAAGTAGATATAGCGGAAGTGTCAGCGGATAGCGCAGCCTTGCTACTCATCTCAACGAATTTGTCACAAGAAAACGAAACTTGGGAAATGGTACCTTTACCTAAGGGAAGAAAGGCTATACCATGTAAATGGATTTACAAAGTAAAGACAAATCCAGATGGAAGCATAGAACGTTATAAAGCGCGACTGGTGATAAATGGGTATTCTCAAAAGAAGGGTGTGGACTATTTCGAAACCTTCAGCCCTGTAGCGAAAATGAGTACGATAATGACGAGGGTTATAAAATTTGGAACAAGAGAAAGAGCTTCTGAACCAGGAGAGCTAATACATGTAGATCTATGCGGGCCGTTCACCAACTCTTTATCCAAATACAAGTATTTTGTACTCTTCAAAGTAGATATAGCGGAATTTGCTGAAATCATCTTTGAAGAGTACAAAATACTTGTATTTGGATAAAGAGTTGGTGAACGGCCCGCATACATCTACATGTATTAGCTCTCCTGGTTCAGAAGCTCTTTCTCTTGTTCCAAATTTCAACTTATGTGCCTTACCATATACACAACCCTCACATAGTTCTTTGTCTAGCTTCATCTTAATGCCAAGTTCTCTCTCAATCACCTTCTTCACATGTGATTTGCTCTGATGAGCCAACCTCTCGTGGTAAAGCTGCAACTGATCCTCTTTTGAAATGTTGTTGACTTCATTTGGACACTCAGATCTGATATTTCTGACTTTCAGCTTAAAAAGACCTCCATCTTTTTCTCTTTCTCCAATGAGTAACACTTTTCCATGCTGTAACAGTTTGCATTCTTCGGTTGTAGACATGAAAAGGCTGTTTGACATCTTATCTTGAGCTGACAGTACTGAAAATAGGTTTTTCTGTATTGTAGGCACATACCATACATCATAAAGTGCTATGTGTTCATTACGACCCTTTACATCAGCTTCTATGTATACAATTCCTTTCCCAACTGCCTTGATTGTATCTCCATTAGCTGTCGTAACGGTGTGTGAAGTGTGAAACCTCTCAAATGTCTGGAATAGATCCTCCCTGTTCGTGACGTGGCTTGTAGCTCCGTTGTCCACATACCAGTGATCTTTATCAGCAGAATCATTTGGATTCACTGCCATAATATGCATATTCACACTCATAGTAGGTCCTTTTGACTTAGATGTTAATGGTTTTGGCTTAGGTGGTCGTCCATCGGATATCCATTTAGAGCATCCTCTTATTCTGTGACCGCCCATGCCACAATAGTGACATTTGTCTGTGCTCGCTTCCACCTTACTCTTCTCATAATTCTTACTCACTTTACTCTTATTTGTCGTAACTTTGCTGTCTCTCACTACTAGTGCTTCTATCTTCATACTTTTTTACATCTGCAGCTGTTGCATCCACTTTTAGTTTCTCGGGCGGCACTAGCTTGCCCTCAACTACATCTTGGATCTTCAAACCTCGCAGCGAAATCATTATTTTGAATTTCCATATTGCCCAGTTCGATTCATCAAGTGCTCCTACGTGAATCTTCGCTGCATCAACGATTGAATTTTGCATCTTGAGCTCTCGAACTATCAACACGTAATTTCTATCTGAATTTTATTTCCCGGAACCACGCTCTGCTACCATGTTGAAGTTATAGGATCTTTTATAATATAAAATACACATGGAACTTTTCAATAATCTAATAATGTCAAAGTATTTTTTACAGAGTGTCAGAAACAAAAAACCTAGTAACCTGACAATAGAAGAATAGGCCACACTCTCAAAGATTAACTTTACAAAGAACCATAGAGTTTCTATTTCAACAGTTGGCAACCCTGCTGAGTATTTACTGTCATGTTGACAGTGTCAACTGTGAATCCTGCACATGCGAAGTTAAAACAGTGTGCCTTCGAATTATTTATTTAATTTCTCTGTTATTTGTTTGTGATGAGTAAGACTAGTTCTTCGCGGAAACGACATGCACATGAAGTGGATAAAAGTAAGTTGTCTTACAGCAAATAATTCTATAAATTTAAAATTAATATGGAATATCCCCTCATTTTCAATATATTTAAATAAGGAGGTATATTCTACATGTTCTGAGAACTCAATGTTACTTAAATGGTGGAATGTATGCTATTTTATAAAAACAAGGTTCTTATCATACCAACCACCAACCACCCTTTTCTTCCAGTAAACTTAGTACTTCTTTACTTCTGTTTCCAAGATTTTTTATGGGATTCCTATCCCATACACGAAACGAGGAATTTTCTTTTTTTTTTAAAAAGACAGCTACCACACTATGAATAAATCCTGTGTCGCAGGGGACCTCACAAACATACATGAAACGAACACAAACAACACCCTGATTCAGAACAACAATTTGTGGATCACACAAAGTGTTGTTCCATGTGGGGATCAATGCCACTACACTCAAAACCACTATGCCATCTGTGCAATTTACTTAACCAAAACAATAAAAATTGTTATGTAGTTGTGTTGTATGCCGTGGAAGTGGGTGCGAGGGGTATACCAGCTAAATCCCTCTATAACCTGCTTTAAGACCTTGGATTACCAAGAGCTTCAGTAAACTCTTTTCTTGAACAAATATCCAAAGCGGCATTGCTAGGCTCAAATCAAATATGGTTAGGTAGAGGGGGTAACACAGCGGACAGTGTAGGAGTGCTCCCTAAACCTATATCTGGGTCGCAAGTCCCAGGTGTTGTCCAAGTCGCATGTTTTGCTCCCATCTATCACGTGATGGACCTGGCACCCGCATGCTGAATCCATGGAACGCTATGAAATAGGTCTATATTTTAAGTAAAGGATACATTGGTTAGAGTATATTATCTACAATCGATTGTTTTATATTGTGTGTTAAGATAATTTTTTTTTTGTAGATGGGCACACAAGAAATGACTTAAACCACAAAGTTATAGAGAAAGCAGTTAAAAAACGGAAGAAAACAGTATCACAGTTCCGGTTGAAGTTGAATGGGGAACATGCATCATTATCTATTGAACCAAATGAACGAGTCCCGCTAACTTTAACAGACATCCAGTACTTGTTGCTACATTCACTTCTAGGAAATCTTAATTTAACAGAATCTCCTCGTTGGTATGTTTTGGACAAATGTGATGGAATAAAGCAAACAGCTTGTTTCATTCTTGAAGGTATCTCTATTAAGCATTGGGAAAGGCATTCCAATGAATTTGAAAACTCTAAAAATATATTTAAAAATTTTGTTGAAATTGTAACACCTTCTCTTTATAGTGGGTCATTAGTTCAAGAGCTTGCTCTTGTACCTCTGTCAGAAGCTGATAAGGAAAGTCTTATTTATAAGTATGGCAGTATGAATTTAGCTCTTGAAGCTAGAAAAGACTTAATGGTTATGATGAAAGCTGTATTTCCTATTGGAAATGAAGTTAGTCCACAAATTAATTTGCAATCTGAAGACAAATTCCCAAGAACACAACTCATATTGTCAGCTTGGCAATTGATTGAAGAAAATTATCCTTTACCATTGAAAGGAAAATTGAGCCATGCCTATTCAGATTATATACTAACGAAAGATGAATATGCTCCAGTGACAGCCACATCACCACTATTTGGTGTTGACTGTGAAATGTGTTTAACTAATGAAGGTTCTGAGCTAACCAGAATCTCAATTGTAAATGAAAAGCATAAAACAGTATATGACTCACTTGTGAAGCCTTATAACCAAATTACAGATTACTTGACTCGTTTTTCTGGTATTACAAAACCATTATTAGAAAATGTTACTAAACGACTTGAAGATGTACAAAGTGATTTAAGATCGCTTTTACCCGCTGATGCTATTTTGGTGGGCCAGTCATTGAATTCAGATTTACATGCATTAAAAATGATGCATCCTTACATCATAGATACTAGTTTAGTGTATAACTTCACTGGTCAAAGAACGCGCAAACCAAAACTACAAACACTTGCTAGAGAATTTTTAAGTGAAAAGATTCAAGTGGGAAATAAAGGCCACTGTTCAACAGAAGATGCTTTAACAGCATTGAAGTTAGTGCAGTTGAAATTGAGCAAAAGCTTAGAGTATGGCGATGCTGTGCACACCAATAGACAACAATACAAAGAAAACGTTGTGAAAATGATAAAGACACCACAAGTTGCCTTGTCAATCTTCAATCACATGTTAGAAAAAAAGAAATCATCACTAATTGTGGGGTGTGATGATATAACCGGTGACTATCATACATACCTAACACAGGCAAAAGAAAGTTTATCTGCTCAACTAAAAAAAGGAAAGCCTAAGAGAATAAAATTAGTAACTGTGGATGGAGTGAATGAAGTTATTTCATCATTCAAAGATTCTATCGGTGATTTTAATTTTTCTATGGCACATTTAAAACTTGATATCTCTGAAGAAAAGGAATTAGAGGAGATCAAGGTAATAGATACATGGATCAAGAATATCTGGGATTGTCTCGCATCTGCCTCCCTATGTGTTGTTATCTTTGGAGGCACAAGTGAAGATAATGGCTTAGCAATGATAAAAGTTAAAAATACTTAATTTAAAGTGTATAATTTAAGTTTCTTCTGTGTTATTGCCCAAAACTGACATTCCCAGTGACTAATGTGTAAGGCGGAAATGTGTGATTCTCCTGGGCTATCTAGTTAACATATGTTTTAGATGTACATAAAAGCCAAGTTACCCCTTGTCTTGTTTAGGATTAGGAGAATTTCTCAAGATTTGACGATGATGCACGATTACGTAACACATACTTTTTTTTTGAGAACTAGCAATATTTTTCTCTAATAGTATGTGGAGTGCAGTTCACTTAGGACAATAGAAATCACTTGATTGAAAGTATAATAGTGTCCTATGTACATGCCATTGTTATCTTACCTCTTTGAAAATAAAAGGCAGATTTTTATTGCAGTTAAAGCAGCCACTGTCTTTTTTAGAACTTCGCCATCGCTATCGGTGCTGGAAGATTTATATGCACTCGATGCAATACGTGAGTTACTGTTAGAGTGGATAATGTCAATCAATTACCGTTAGTCGAATCGTGTGTTTATTTCCCATCGCAGTCCTGTAAAAAGTTACTGTAACCACTATGAGAATTTTAGCTAGCTTATTAGCTTAGCATTTTTGTTTTTAATTTCTTAGGCAACTTTTAAAGGGAAGTCGTAGAACCATTTTTTTTATTTTAATTATTCTAATCATGAACTGATGCAAACAGTATCCATTGAGTTAGCTTACCCTGCTTACACTAAGTGTATAGAACTAAATTGGATGACGAAAACGACAATAAAATTACGTTTATGATTTTAGAAAGTTGTTTTAATATTTTGGGTAAATCAGAAAATTACATATAACTGTTGATTAGCAATAATTAAATTCAATTACTTGAGACAGTCTGCAAGATGCAAAATGTAATAAGACAAACTACTTTGTTGGTAAATCAGAAATATCTTGCGACGAGTTTTTCAGTACCTGAAACTACTCTCACTGAAAATTGTGAATTTTCACCTTTAAGTGTCTTATTTGTGTGACTCGTACTTTCGCCGCAAAATGTGAAAGCACTATTTGCGAAAATATAAAAATAGGTGCTTCGGGAAAACTGTGCTTAATCGAAAGAAAGCATCCTACAACAATTTAATAAATGGCCTTTTTATTTTACTTAAGAGTTGTCCCAAAACCTCTGCATAATTATAAATCTTCCAGGAGTATGGCGGCGCGGCGGTGTGGGGGAACTCTTTCTCGCCTAACCCAAAAGAAAACTAAAAGAAAAACTAAGCCTAAACTAAAAGAAAATGATATTGAAGAAAATCATTACACGGAATGAAAAGACCAATAAATTTGTAAATAATGCATTTTAAATATTTGATTTGTAGTTATCAGGTAGTGTCCCTTTTTTTCGTTGCGTCTACAACCTAACATTATTATTCAGGCACGTGTGCATCAGAATAAAACCTTACTTTTAGTAATTCATATTATTTATGATTGTGGGTGTTCTGATGCTTTATTGTGAATTCGAGACGCACTGATATCTTTAATTGCATAAATGCAGCTTTACAATATTTTTTGTTCACTGCAGGTATTCTACTGTTGGCTTTTACATGTTAGCACGATACTAAAGCTTTCAGATAAGTAAATTCAAACGGGTGATTCTTTTCAGAAAATATAATACTATATTAGTGAGAGATGAAATATCGTATAAAAGTGATTAACTTCTAATAAGAGTATCCTAATGAGAGACAACAAGTTCATTAATTCTCAAGTCGTTCAATTTAATAAAACCAAAAGTAACCAATTAATAATTTAAACCCGCAAAATGAATCGTCAAGTGTTTATTAGAGAAACATTTAAAGAGAAACTAGAGCATTAATAACTATTGGCGTTGTTTTAATATTAATAGTACATTAAATATCATCATTAAAGGTGTAAATAGCCCATTCAAATGTTTAACAATTAAAATGCATGTTTTCTGCGTTGTAAGGTTTGATGGAGTTGGCGACGTTTGACATTTAACGACTCATAGAGGTTTGTATGGATTGTGTAGAAATATATCTGTTTACGTGTAGTGTATCATGGGTTCATATATCTGTATATATTAGATTTATATTAAGTATGGTTTCAAAATGTTTTGTTTGCATGCATGTCCTATTTTCTCTGCATTAGCTTGACCCAATGGTTGACTGGTAGGGGAAGCCATAGGTACCATTAAGTCCTCTCATGTACCGAATCAGCATAAAATTGCTACTAAGTACTATTACGTGTTCTGTTATAAATTGTAAAGAAATAAATGTTGTGTCGTACTGCGTGAGTGTTGTAGCCAATCTGGGCTATACTTTCTTGAGAATTGTAAAAAAAACGAACGTCTCGTAATAACGTTGTATAACAAAACCTCAATAATTACGTCTTTACTAAAGGGATAAACTCAACAAAAACTTTAGTATGGAGAAAAATTTAATATCAAAAAGGCTTATTTGGAAACAGCGTAAATCTGCCCTGTAATAGGATCAACTGTGAGCGAGGGTGGCAACTCAGCAGCAATATCGGCAAGCGCCTCCCAACGTGTTGCACGGCTGCTTTCGGAATGACTAGGACTTAGATTATCCTCAGTATGTTCCTCTCTGCAAGAAATCACATTTATTATTATGTAATGGTTATACTCGTAATAGATCCAATACTGTAATTAAGCGATTTTTATCGATAAATCGATTTTAACTCGCATCTAGTTTTATGTTACTTCGATTTTTCACAATTCAGTGACTGTTTCTTCAAACAGTAGGTGGAATTTTTAAACCGTAAACTTTCATAATTTTTTTAATAATTATTAACAGACTTACACATACCGGAAAAGTAAATATTTATTTATTCAAATAAGGGTTTGCTTTAAGTACGTTTAAGTTTAAGTTTGCCTTAAATACGTTCTGCATAAATTGCTAATACATTATAGTGAGAGTATTGGACTAAACGTGCTATATTATCGAAGAAGTTGAGAGTTCTGTAGATGGTCGAAAAGTTTATGATTTACGAAAAAGAATATTTATATTTCTGATCATGGCTGCATGTTATGCATATCAAGAACAAAACGAACTTTTTTTTTTATGCTAGAGGGGGCAGACGAGCAGACGGGTCACCTGATGGAAAGTGACTATTGCCGCCCATGAACGTCTGCAACTCAGGAGTCACAAGTCATAAGTTCCACAGATTGGTTGTGCGGGGCAAAAGTGTCTCGAAAAGCGCACAGTAGTGGAGCGCCAACTATGAGGATGAAAATTTTGCCGTGTGTAATCGATGGCGGAAATTTGCGGCTGGTATTAGTCCGAACAATTCCTCGGAGCACTCTCCATGATATATGCGATAGAGAATGCAGAGTGAAGCCACATCTCTACGTAACGCCAAGGGATCGAGCCGATCGGAGATGTTTGGGCTATCGACGATTCGAGTCGCTCTTCGTTGGATGCGGTCCAGAGGGAGAAGCTGGTACTGAGGTGACCCTGCGTAGAGATGAGATCAGTATTCCATATGCGGCCGGACTTGCGCCTTATAGATCTGAAGGCGGTGGGCCGGAGTGAAATACTGCCTCGCTCTGTTCAATACACCGAGCTTCTTCGAGGCCAATTTGACCTTACCCTCTAAGTGACCCCGAAACTGGACTTTGCTCTATATGTCGATGCCTAGTATTCCGATGCTGGCTGAGGCAGTTAGGGAGGTGCTCATACTGAGGTGATACGACAAATGGTATCTTTTTTGCGGTGAACGCACATACCTGTGTCTTTTTTTGGGTTAAACTGGACTAGATTTAGTCGGCCCCAATCTGAAACCTCCGCTAAGGAAGTTTCAATTTCAGATACAAGTTTGTTTCGACTCTCGATGACTTTTTCCCGAGAAATGTTGGGGCGGCCGGTATAAAGGGCATCTCCTGTGCTATCATCTGCATAGCAATGGATGCCACTAGTTTGCAACATGTCATTGATATGCAGAAGAAACAGTGTGGGTGATAGCACACAGCCTTGTGGGGACATATTAGTTTATATTATTTTTCTTTTGAAATAGTACTTATTCTAAAGTTTGTTAGAGAGGAATCTGTTTTAGGAACAATAGCGGCGCCATTCACAGATATTCAGTCATATATCACTCGAAGCGTAAAGTGAACGTTGTGTAACAATCGCGACTACATTACGTTCGAATTTCCAGCGTGTAACTCCACATTTCCCGGACTTTCTCTAAGTAACAAGATAGTTAGCGTATTTTTTTTGCATTATTTTGATTTTTACTAGTCTGGGTGTTTCTATGCATAATTTTTATAAAAAAATAAATACAAAACAGTAAATGTATTTATATCAGTTGTCTATTTCCCATAATACAAGCGCTGAGCTCTTGGTTTGTGACTAGATGGCGTTGTGCGAATGTGGTATAGAATATTATTATTCGTGTTACTTTCGTATAAAATGGAATCAATTAATAAAGGAGCATAAAATTTTAAGAAATTGCATTTGCTAATAACTGAAATAGTTTATCATCACACAAAATAGAGTCATATCTTTCTCTAAAAACCCTTTCTTTTCTCTCAGGACACATTAAAATTGAAATACTCAATAAGGGCAACGTGTATAAACTTTACTACAACAAATATTAGAAAGTGTAATCAAATACACAAAAGTTAAAATCACTATTCTACAGATAATGTCACTAAGGACCGTCAACCCGTCTGGCCAGCGTGGTATCGTAGGCCAAAACCTCCTTTCTGAGGAGAGGCCTATGTCCATCAGTGGACTATTATAAGCTGTTGATTATGATATCAAATGTCCATATTAATCTGAGTAGTTACTAACTTTTCCATGTCTTGTGCAGGCGTGGGATCTTTTTCACTTTTCTCCAAGGCATTGGTCTCTTCTAAGTTATGTTTGTATAAGTTTTCTTCAGTTTTTGGCGGTGTCTCGTCAATGTTTTCATTCTTTTGTGGATTATCAACAAGTTCTCCCATAGCATGTAATTCTACAACTTTGTCAACAACTTCTTTTAATGTAGGTACTTTATCTTCATTTTGTAGTACATCGTTGTAGTCAGCTTTATTAATAGCTTCAGTTATATGCCCGGCGTCTGTATTTTCTGAAAGTACAATACGCATTATAAAAATGCAACCTCTTTATTCTAAAAGTTATGTTTATTACTTTGTAATTAACTAGCGATTAATTTTCATGACTCCCGGGACTTTTGGGATTGATACATCGAGTGGAACTAGCCCCAAAGAGATTAATTTCTTGTTTAATGATTATGAAAAATCTGTTTTTTATACGTATCTGAAGTTAATGTTTTTATGCTGTTTTCTATTTCGTTCTGAAGCTTTTATTTTCGATGTTATAAAAATTTTATGACGATTCTTCCAACTGCATATAATATATGTGCTAGAGATTGAGAAGCATGCTTGGAGATGAGACGTTGAAGTCAATTTAATTTAAAAATATGAGTATAAAAATTGATCTCTGTAGCATTGTACAGTCCTATTGTTACCACTTTTCATGAATTCTACAATTCCGGGGCTATCCCGAGATCCCAAGATTAACTGTAGAAAATCCCGAAATCCCGGGATTAGAAAAATGGACAGGGTGCAATGTAGATACTGCTAGTGTGGAGTAAATGTGTAGTTAAGTATACTATTACTATAATAAAACTACAGGACATCTTTAGATGCAATATTTATGGACCCTGCGATCCTGACGGCCGGGCTGCGGCTGCTGCCACCCGGGACGTTAGTACGGTCCGACGCGGCGACGGCCGCTTTGTCCCACATTTTAAACTTGAATAAATGGCACTACACCACTGTGCGCTTTTTATGACACTTTTAGCCTCGCACAACCAGTCTGTTGAACAAGTTATCGTCTCGACCTTTAAGAAAAGACCGTACTCCTGAGTTGCAGGCGTTCATGGGCGGTGATAGTCACTTTCCATCAGGTGACCCATCTGCTCATGTTCCTCTTCCATAAAAGAAATATCTACTAAAATATTAATTTTTATAAATGCTGTAATAGGCAATTTTAATCTACATTAAATGCACAACGTTGTAAACGTATTTATTTGGATAAGAAATACTTAATACCGTATCGTTCAAAATAGCTTTGTAAATTACCCATTATTTTTTGACTTTTGTAATTTGTAAAAGATAAAAATGGTTACTGTAGCTTATCTTTAGGAGATAGAAAAGATTAAAAAGATCTACAAAATGGTCTGCGACCTTTGCAGACCTTTTTAAGATACACGATTCCGTAGTACATTATTTTGATCTATCTCGTAAGGTTTAGTCAGCGTTTGAAATGTAAATGTACAACAACATGTTTTTTTACTACTATAATATGCATGTATACATTTTTAATCGGCGATTTTATCGCCCGCCTCTTGAATCACTCTCTCTATTAGTGAAAACTGCTATAATAGTGTAGTAGATCTAAGCGTACAAGAAAAAAAAAGCGACTTCATTTTATACTATGTAAAGATTTTACCTTGTAATCCTAACTTTATGAAAGAAAGAGCCAACGAGTTTGTTTGTTTATTTGTTCTGTGTTAAGGTTTCACTCTTTTAAATTCTCCTCCGATTATCATGACTTTTTATTTAAGTATAAAATGTCATGCTCAAAGAGCGAAAACGCTCATTGAGGGAAAAAACAGTGGCAATGAAGAAAAACCATGACGCTTATGAAACCATATTCGATTACTACACATAGTGCTTATCAAATCATTAATGCAAATTATCATTTATAAAATAAAATGAATACGTCAAAATACGTAGTATGTGTGTGGTTTATCATAGTGGTTTCGAACATATTCAAGGAGAAGTGTTGGAGTCAGCACTCATTTTATTTCTACGGGTTCAAATGCAACCGCAAACCTATTTCCGGCACTAAATAGTAAGAATATTATTTCAAATGGATTACTATATTTGAAACGCCATTAATATTATCAGATCTGCGCTCAGTGTTGTACCTCCTTAAATTGTGAGAGGTACAGCTTCGAATATTTCTTGCAAGCTTGAAGTTTTGGGCGTGTTAAGTGCTTTCGGTCTGGCGCGCTGTTACGAGTGAGAGTTTGGTGAACTCTACAAAGATTTCATGGATGGATTCAAGTCATTTTCTCATATCAGAAAAATATTCATTAATCAACATTAATAGCCTTTAATAGTTTACTGCTTCACATGGGCCTCTCTTTAGAAATGAGGGTTTGGCCAACTATACCACGCTGGCTAGAGGGTTTGTTTCAAGTTTTCCTTCTCTTTGCAGTGCTGCAGTAACCTGCAGAGTTTTCTCTTTTAGTTCTTTTAGTTCCTCTCACGACACCCAAGGGATGAATATAGATAGTGACACTCCTTATTCTTAATCCATTACCACGCGGTCTAGTGACAAGTGACCATATATCTGCTTCCACAGTATCAATAGGTAGTATATACATACAGACGTTATAAACAAGATACCTAGTACATATATATATGTTGAAGTGTAGAACCGTATTGATTTAGAATTTACCAAGTTGTTGTGTTACATTTTCTGTAAAAACACTGCCATGGTATCTACTTCTAGGTGTACAGTTCCGCTAACAACTTGTCACTTACAGCCAAGGTTCTTTATGCATAAATGTCGCCGAGGTCAGTGGCTATCAGCGGACATAGCATCTCTCATACCTACCTACCTACTTTAATGAAACGTTTCATTAAAGTAGGTAGTTACTAGTTAAAATTGGTTTTGAACAGATCATTTGAATATCGTATTGTTGTCCACATAATTTTGACCAGTTGACAAGAATTATTCCTGTTAAGAACAATGATTGCGTTGACGTCCTCACTTGGAGAAGATAAATATCTTGTTCTTTCAAGACGAAGCATGTGTACACACACTTGTGAACTATTTTAATGGCAGAGGTCGATGACTTAGACTACTTTGAATTTTCACGAACTCACTATATTCATCAGACGTGGCTAGGAGAGACATTGTGGAGTTACGGGTCTTGTCCCTCCATCACTAAGGGAGAGTCATCTAACTACGTTACGTGACTTTGCTTAGAGAACCGCAGCCCCATCGTTGACGTTTGATAGTTGTATATATGTATACTAATAGAACTTTACTTCAGTTGCTCACTACCACCAGCTACTAATTAGCGGCCCCATACGATGGGATACCTAATTCTAATTTGTCATTTTCTATTACCACGTCTTCGTCTAATTTATAATATGTAGGTATTTAGATATACAAGGTGTAAGGGACATCGTACCTAATACTGAAATAGTGTATTTAGACCATGATTCTGAGTCGAAAATCATTGAAATTTTCTGCCGGAAAATTCATCAATTCTTTTTTTAATTTTCCATTTTTCTGGTTGAAAATGATGACATGACATGAATGACAGAACATTTTACCGAAAACAATTTAACAAATCCCAAAAAAACTGCAATGTAATTAATCAAACAGCCGAAGCGCGCGGGGCCCTCCCCTCCGGCCGCCATTTTGTGTTAGTGTGCGTAGACTGTTTGCACGGAATACACATGTAGGTTTTACTTTTGTGCGATACCTACAGAGAATGACCTTACCCTTTGACAGCTGATTGCATAAAAAGTTTAATTTTCCGGCAGAACATTACAATGATTTTCGACTCAGAATGATGGTCTGAATACACTATTTCAGTATTCGTTACGACGTCCCTTACACCGTGTATATGTCTTCAATGAGTACGTCCTACCCGTCATGACATACACAGCCGAAACGTGGACACTCATGGTACGGCTGCGGGCTACAGCGGGCTATGGAAAGAGCTATCGCAATAATAATCGCATCAGGATTAGCAAGCTGAAGTGGCAGTGGGCTGGCCATATTACTCGCAGAACCGACAACCCTTGGTCTAAACAAATTCTCGAGTGGAGAGCGCGTCTAGGCAAACGTAGTGTAGGACGCCCACAGGCCAGGTGGAGTGTCGATCTGCGCAAGATGGCTAGCAGGAGCTGGATGTGAGAAGCCGAAAATTGATCCGAGTGAAATGGGACAGACCTATGTCCAGCAGTAGACTGCGATAGGCTAATGAAATAACTTTTTTAAATTTTCACTAGTAGTAATTAATTTTTATTCCCATGCAAAATTACAGTTTTCTAGTACTAACAGTCTCTAAGCTAAGCTGCGGAATGATGGATGCACGGACATGGTGGAAGTTTAAGGGGAATCCTTAAAGTTACACTACGGAACCCTAAAAAGGTAAAGGTAAATGTCTTTTTTGTAGTCTTACTGACATTATAATAAAATAAGAAGGGTAGGTTTGACTTTGATATTAAAAAACTGCTTGTTTAGTTAATTATTTCGCACGTCGGCGTCGGTGAAATTTAAGGTGGAGCGTAAATGTGTTTTTATAATTATTATCAGTAATGAAATCTCTTCGCTTCATATGAGTTGTATAAAAGTAGTTTTATTAACGACACTTGTTTCGTTACATAAATTCGGTTTTGATGTTGCTGTGTAAGTTTTTGCCATCGCTTTTGAAATAGAAAACAACAGGTTAGGGGCAGATAAGTGACGTTTTTGGCAAAATTTAAGTGACGATTTACAGAATAGCAGTTTCGATTTTAGGAACATGCAATAAAAATTTATAACATTTTAAAACAATATGTATTAAGGAAAAATTACCTATAGGTAGGTTGTAATACAGTTTGTGAAATGCAACATAACTTAAAACATTATCAAGTTATTGGGGAAACCTATAACTATTGATAAGATTTTCAAAGTGAAATATTTCCTTTTTTTAACAACTATTAAGTTTAGCTAAGATTTTTTAAAAGAATTTTGTACTGATTTTACTACAACGACTACTACTCTGAAATCACCAGAGCTAAGTTAGCCGTAATATTTTTCATTCTAAATTATTTATGTATACTACCATAATTCTTTTTATTTTAATATTACGCAAACAGATAACTGAATCGAAATATAAACTTGACAACCCCTCGAATTTTTTGAAGATGATAGATTGAAGATTTTTGATGATTTACTGTATTATAAACATTCCTACGACACGTGTCAACCTAAAACTACACACATCAAAAAAGTGTAAGCAACACGCATTTATAGAAACTGCATGTTATTTTATTTTTTTCTTTGCTATTTTATTTTTTCTTATCATTTTGGTTCTCGGAAACATTTACAAAACATAATGGCTACATATGGCTATTGAATTTTTTTTTTCTGTGTTTTGTTAAATATATTAAAATAAATCCTTTTAAAAAAAGTTTAACCGACTTCAAACAATACTGACAAAGAGCTCTAAAAATTAAAAAATAATTGCAAATAAAAGTAAAAAAACTATAATAAGTACCCTCAATGTAACAGGTAACATTATAATAGCAACCTTCTAGTGTGTTTGAAATCGGTGCCAAGCCCGATGCACGACGATATATGGACGATATTTAAAACACTACGTACCGTAATGTATAGTACCAAAGTGTAGTATCTTAGATCATATTAAATATAGTTATAAGTTAGTTTAATAAGTCCGTAACTTTATTTAAATAAGGTTTAAATAAGGTAAGTTATAGTTTAATAAGTCCGTAACTTTATTTAAATAAGGTAGTAGATGTTACATTAGAACCCGAAAATATATTGTTTTCCACATTACTTCATTTTCCAAAACTAGGAGTGATATTTTTTCTTCACATGTGAATGGTACTTAAGAGGAAAAATACAAATACTTACATAGATAAATTACACCCAGACACAGAACAAATGACCGTGCACATTATACAATATTTGTCCTGGGTGGGAATCGAACCCACGACCTCCGGCTTAGCAGTCAGGGCCACTAACCACTACACCAACAGGACCAAATGAAAGAGTTTTGCGGTAACAAACATGAAAATAATTGCGTAACAAACTTTTTTTTGTCTAAATGTTTTGTAATCTATATTTCTCTTTTGTGCACATATCTCTGTACAACACTCAACACAAACACCTAACAAATTTCTTGAAAGAAAAAAAACAAGGTAACATGGTTAGATTTTCCCTTCCCCTTCCATCATCAGCTCAGCAACATGACTACACGTAATGACGCACACTAAACGTAAATACCTATAAAGCTAGAGAAAAAAGCTAAAACAGGTTGTCGGGGCTGTAAAATTTGAGGGTTTCCTTCGATTTCTTTAGGATCCCATCATCAGATCCTGATTTAGTGAACCAGCGTGGTACCACCTCGGGAGCACCCATTCGATTAAAAAAAAACTTTGAAATCGGTCAGTCGGTTTGAATATCGCGTAACAAACATAAAAAAAATCAGACGAATTGATAACCTCCTCTTTTGTGTTTTTGAGGTCGGTTAATAAAAGCTAATTATTTTTGCTAATTATTATTTTATTTTATGTGTTTTCGGTGCTTAAAAAATTTGCTACTTATCCCACTTTTAACATTTTGAGATATACTTACAGTTTAAAAAAATTGAGTGGTGAGTCATTTTTTATGCCATGGAGCTACGCCATTTGACGTCTGATGAAATGCAGAGAGCTGGAATACCACAAGCGGGAAGAAATCAGTACCAGGTATCTCATTTTTTCCAGTACCAGATATCGCATTTAGTCTTAATAGGAGCGTGATTTGTCGTCTTTAGCAGCGTTATAATAATACAGGGGATCCTGCTAAGCATCATCCAGGACGTGGAAAGAGTACAACGGCTCGACAGGATCGATACATACAATTGACTGCAAGACGTCAGCCGATGTTAAACACCCGGGAGATAAGTTTAGAGCTACAATTCTCAAGCGGTGGTGTTGTTAGCATCCAAACCGTGAAAAATAGGCTGCATGAATACGGCTTATGAGCACGACGCTGAATTAGGTGTCCACCTATACGCCATGGGAATCACGTCCGTGTGATGTGCGCACAGTGATGGGCGTATTTTATGAAAAACAGACGAACTAAGTTCGTTTTTGTAGATGTCACTATGAGAGCTGAAACTTACGTTGAAGATGTCTTCTGGCCTTATGTTCACCCGGGTATTGAAGTGGCCTGCACAATCGCCAAATCTCAATCCAATTCAGCACGCATAGGACATGCTCCAGAGAACCTAGACGGAGTGTTGACAACCCAACAACTCGAAGACTTGTTAAAATTCCATTGGGAGCGATTTTTTTAAACATTTTAACATGCAAAATTACAGTTTTTTGTATTAACAGTATCTAGATAAGCTAAGCCATGGACGGAAGGACGCCGGAAGGAAACCAGAAGGGTTTCTTGTTAATTCCTAAATAAATTACTAACCGATTACTAATTTTAGTAACTAATTTACCCGACTACGCTAGAAGAAGGGCTATGTTTTTCGAGTGTATGTATTCCTTTAGCACCCGCTGTAGTCTAAACGGCTTGATGGATTTTGGCTTGGGAGGTATCGTGAGATTCGTCTTAGTTGTGAGTGTTTAAATCGCTATTTTATACATTTTCAGTAGGCAAGTCTACATTTTGCAGCCGGGTGTTAATAATTAATTAACTTGCATCCGAAATACTTTATCACAAATTCAAACTTTTTACATTAATTGGCCATAGGTCTTTCATCACAGGTCTGTTGTCTTGTTCTCTTTTGTGGTAAAGTTTTTCCTGTGGATAGTTCATTTCTGAAGTATTGCCTTGCACAAGGAAACTACTGTTATTCCATTGCTTATTGTTTTTCTTGGATCGAAGTTAAAAATACCTCTTCACTTTTATTATTTTTGTTCGCTGTGGTAAAAAGTGAAATTTATTAAACCTTACCTTTTTCAGTATTTAAACTAAGAGTAGATTTATTTCTAACTAAATGTACAGGTTCTGGTAAACTATCACACGTAGGAAGCACTTTTATGTCATCTGCCGCTCTGTAAATAATTTCATCTACGACTTTCGAATTGCTGTCGCTATATTCGTCTTCAAACTGTATACTTTTCTCTGAAACACAATATAACAACAAAATTAAGAACTCTTCAGCATGCATGCCAGCAGGTAATTTATTTTAATATTTTTTTAATGAATTGAGTTCAATTTAATTTAAGGGCGTTAGTTTCTTTTTCATCCAATACAATTAAGTATGATAACTTATACAACCACATCAAAAAATCAAAAATACCGTTGTCTTAATTGAAAATGGCTACTCGATAAAAGCTCCCATGCCTACAAACATTATGAGACAATAATGTGAATTTACTTAATGTTTAACAAAGCCACAGAGACCATTTCTTAAATACTATAAAACTTCAAGTGTATCATGTTGAACTTTAAAAACTCATCCTTCAGCCGTAGATTTCATTAAATCAGTAACTTTTTTCCATGAAGTCATAAATAGGCATTCTCGTTTACTTTATTTGCTTTCTAAAAATAGACACACTTGAAAAAGCTTATCAGTAAACTAAGTGTTACTTATACGCAAAAGGGTTATTACCGAAATGTCACATTACCATACCTGCCGTACTAGGATGGGCCATGTTTTTAGTGCTGGTAGTACAACCCATGATGGAGAGAATAAAGAGTTAGGCATTGGCCATGCGTGTTATAGCCTAAGTGATAAAATATAGAGAATGATTCTGGTGAAAAATTTGCGCGATGTGAGGAGCGGTGGTGTGTCGACGGACACTTGACCAGCCGCCGTTAGCCACTCCGGTCGACTGCCCGTTACGCGGCTAACCGAGATCGTATCGTGGCTTGGCTACCTATTATGGAAGGAGGCAGCCCGCTAAACTGACCTCGCACCCCCATCGCGTTTTTCCTATTAAACGAACGTAGTAAATTCTTTGATTTCAAAGTTGTTTAGTGAAAGACCTTTCTTCCGTTTAATTAATTTATAGGTTAGAAACTTTCTGATCATTATTATTAGTAAGCACATTGTTTGTTCAATGCTTAGTTATTAAGTAATTGCTTAATAGCATCGATTGACTGTTAATATGGTTGTACAAAATAACTTATGAACATAAGTTGTAGGTATTTGTTGATCGTTGGCAAGTTATGGAAAAAAAAGTCGAAGTTTAGTATAACTTGCATACCGATCCGTAGCAAATACACTAATTAAAGAATGTGTAATTTGGTGTTTAACAAAACTAGTGGATTGTTTAAAGCAGGTAGCATTATTTTTGATAGGCCGGTAATAAATAGTTTTGTGTTTAATTTTAAGTCTAGTCTAAGGATTTCCCTACCTAGGGCAATGAAATTACTTTTGACGACAACGTTACGAAAATTGCAAAAGCATTAATAACGTTTCCTATCTACGTATCCATACTAATATTATAAATGCGAAAGTGTGTCGTTCTGTCTGTCTGTTACCTCTTCACACTGAAATCGCTGAACCGATTTAGATAAAATTTAGTACAGCGATGTCTTGAGTCCCGGGAAAGGACATAGGATAGTTTTTATCTTAGAAATCAATCTTTAAGGAGATGATAAGGTTGGTGGAAGTTTGTATGGGCACTCAATGAAACGATTTTAATGATTTGGCATGGTTTCTCCATGCTTTGATTTTTAAGGAAAGACAGGCTACTTTTTACCGCGATAACCGACATAAACGCGCGCGGAACCGCAGGTCAAAGCTAGTATAAGTTTATGACATTTGTGTTAAAACTGTTGATGTTTAAAATATTGGGATAAACTGAAATCAGTGCAAATCGTATAAATTAGGATTAAATAACAAATCTTTGTTTTAACATATTTTATATATAGAAAACGAAAATTTCCATTTAAATTACGTTTGGTACTATCTAATCCTTTTTTCATGGGTAATATGAGACAATATACTCAATTGTCGTAAAGCGGGGACTTTGGGAATAAGGATGTCAAAATTCTAAGTAGGTATATAGAAATGGAAAAGTAGGTAAAAAGAGAAAGCAATTAAAGCACGGTATTTACGTAGTATCTCATAAAAATCATACTGTTTAATAGGGTTTTAAGTAGTTTCAATCAATAATAATTCCTACTAATGTTATAAATGCGAAAGTAACTGTCTGTCTGTTACGCTATTACGGCTAAACCGCTGAACCGCTGAACTGGTGCTTTGATTCTTGAGGAATTACATAGGCTACTTTTTAGCGCAGAATTCATCCAAAGTTTTGTGCAATTTGTAATTATGTAGAATGATAAATTCCCACGGTAATTCTAGGCAAAGTTGTAAACTTTGAACATTTTTGACTGTCCTAAGTCTGTGTATTTTATATGTTTTATAATACTTATTTAGGATGTCGGTAACAGGCGGTCAATCCTTGGACTGCTGTATATTTTAAATAAACCTACTTATTCAATTTAAACTCCAAAGATGTCCAAGTTGGCAAGTACTTATTCTCGTACCGTACCGTGGCTCTAGGTTCGTTTGGTGCTAGTATTTGGGAACGTTTCCTACCAAACGTGGCGACTGAACATTTAGAGGGGTTTAGTCCCAATTTTTTTATTAGACAGTAGTGATCAAGTCGTGATAAGTCTGATTGAAGCGCCTGCACATTCTCTGCCGATGATATTACAGAATATATCTATCATCAGCAAAACAGAACAGATTAGAACTTTGGAAGCAGGAGTCGATGTCATTCATGTAAAAGTTAAAACGTAAAAAGCATTGGAGCCATTAAGGAATCCTGGGGTACCCCGCTGGAGATAGAAACCCAACTATAGTTAAACCGCCGTAAGCTTGGCCCTCCTGATGGTTTGGGGGACGCGGGGCGGGGGTACATTCAACCAATTAGCTAGTGCGTCGCTGTCCGCCGGCAGTGACTGACGTGAAAGCATGGCTGTACTTGTTATTTTTCTTAAGACTGCTACACACGGTATTATTTTGCAACATGGATAATCTGCCGACTCTGCGTCGCAAAAAGATTTAAAAACTTAAAGTTCGGCTTACAGAGGTTCTACTGTTAAAGTTCTAATAAAGAATATTTATTATTTCACTTAATTTTTAAATTGTATCTGAATATAATTTACATGATGAAAATAAGGTGATTTTATTAAAATTATTTTACAGTATTCAATTTTACAATTAATCATAAAAACTTACAATACACTGACATTATAATACATGGAAATAAATTCGATTTTTATTACATCGTGTGTAGATTAAATCTCAAACAAATAAATCTGAAGATATCGAGTTAGTACATCGTGTCATGTATAGCCGAGCGCATCACCCGCCCCGCGTCCCGCAAACCATCAGGAGAGCCAAGCTTAAGGCGGTTTAACTATAGAAATATAGTTACTGATAACCACAGCCTGAGTCCGATTTTCAAGATAAGAGGCAAACCACTGAAGTAAGTCTCCCCTTATACCACTGTTAAATAACTTTATTTTTAGCATGTTTTGATCTATTTTATCGATCGCTTTGCTATAGTCGGTATAAATAACATCGATCTGAGCATCATCATCCATACCCTGCGTCACATAATCATTTAGTAGTGCCAAGTTTGAAACTGTAGAACGTCCTCTTAAAAAATCGTGTTGTGATGGATTTAAATGTAAATAAAACTGGCAAATGTCTTTGAAAATATATAAATAATCTTTTCAAAGACATTTGCCAGAACACATAATTTGGATATGGGTATATAATTAACAATTTCAGTTTTCAACAGTACAAAAAGTATGGGAGTTCTTAAATAACAGCCATATCGGCAAAGCTATAATTTTAGATTTTTTATTAATTTGCATTGGATTGATATCATAAGATGTGTATGATGTACTTGTAGTACAGGTATTCGTAGAGGCATCACTAACTAAGAGAATGCATCGCATATTTAGATGATGATAGATGAAATTGATACGCTACCATAATTAAAGTAACTAGGTATTGAATTAGATTTAGAGCGTTGCTTTATAAAACTCAAAAAATAGTTAGGATTCCTTTCAATAGATTCTTCAGTGGCAGCTAGTTAATTAGAGTAACTGTCGGCCTCAAGTTTCTTTCCCCTATCACGTAAAAGCCTAAGCACGTAGCTTGGAGAGAAAGTCTGCCATGTATCTTAAATCTACATAGGTATTTAGATTTTTCTTTTATTAGACGTTTAAGTGAAGAGGAGTACCAAATCAGATAAGAATTAAAATATATATTTTTGCTACGAACATATTTATTTCGAATATCAGCTATAGTATTATAAAAATATGTCACACATTCATCAATCCTCAAATTCATAAATACCCTATCCCAATCCACAGCCGATAATTCCCTAATTATCGAAATAAAATCACCTTTATCATAAGTATACGACGGGTGTACGACGCAGGAATCAAATGTGTGTACTCCGTAGAATTCAAATTAATTAAAAGGGCAGGGCGATATTTATCAACAGCTACCAAGGGTGCAGGACATTCATTTACCGACACACAATCATTACACAAATCCAAGTCCAAAGTTATTTTTGGTAGGTCGTTAATATATATGAGGAATAGTAGGCATCCTATTACACTACCCTGATGAATTGAAGCTGTAACATTTATTTTGTCTGATCGAATGTGTTCTATTCTATTGCTTATTTTATTAAAATATTCTATTTCTACTAACTGCTGCTTTCCTAAGTTATTTAATATACTATTGTACTGGCTCAGATCTGGAACGCGCATCTCATCCTTTAGTAGGTACTCGTATATACTCGTCACTGCTACATATGTTTACAGGTAGCAAAACATTGTCCGTTAATTGCCATGAAATGCCACTTAAGTTAAAATCACCTATGAGTAAAAACTTATCATCTGAGTTATTTAATATTGAACTATTAAAATTGTTAAGAAAATTAGACAGTTGGTACGAAAAAGAGAATCCTGACTTTACGCACATAAATAAATGACAATCACGTTTAGCCTGAAGACTTCCTTTGGAACAGGATAACGTAAGTTCACTGTTACTCATAAATCTTCTGCTGAGGAGTGAAAAGATGACTGGGGCACTGCAGATATGTCTTTACGAATGGCTATTAAAACTCCACGTCTCCGCGCGTTTGTCCAGTCCGACAATAATTACTATATACTAACACATCACATAATAATTATAATATACTAATCACCAAATAATTCTGAGTCCGAGTTACTTTTCACTAACCAACTTTCTGTCAATACAATTGCATCATATAAGTTAACACACACTTCCCTATAACAAGCGTCAGCCTTGGTACGAAGCTCTCACACATTCTGGTAATACGAGTAGGTACTCAATACTTAATACTTTATTGCTTCCATAATGTGAATAAATAGGTGACAATCATTCAAGCGGCAACAATTATGGACCCTGTTGGGTACAGCACAGTTTGTTTGGGAGACAGGAAGATAACACAACCACATATACAGTAGAATATTTTGTTTCTAATTAATATAGTAGGATAAAATCATGTTAACTATACATGTCATGTATTATTATATTATTCATTTAATCAATATTTATTATTACTTTTATTTGTTCATAATTTTAAAATTGATTTAATCTATATATATATATAAGAGATTTCCACGTATATAGTCACTCATCACGATA